ATTGAATTGATTTATTTGATTCATAAGTTCTCAAATTAGTTCTAATATTTAATTGAATTGATTTATTTGTTTAATAAGTTCTCAAGTTAGTTCTGATATTTATTTAAATTGATTTATATGATTCATAAGTTCTCAAGTTAATTATGATATTTCATTGAATTGATTTATTTGATTCATAAGTTCTTAAAGTAATCCTGATATTTCATTGAATTGATATATCTGATCTATAAGTTTTCAAGTTAATAATGATATTTCATTGAATTATATATATTGTTCCAATTTCCAAAACCGGGTAAATTCACTCGACGAATTGAGCACATTAAAAGGTTAACACGTTATGTAAATGAGAAGCAATAAGAAAACTCCATAAGTATATGAATACAAATTTTGAAATTGAAGCATTTATTTCTTTCGACAATTGAATTGTTTCTCTTGTAATTTAAATACAGCCATGAACGACGGTTTCCCCGGAACAGGCTCTACCTTTATTGACATAACAACAGAAAGCTACCATTGTGAGAATCGAACTTATTGCGGCTTAACAAAGGTTACAGAATGTGAGTAGTAATATAATAGAATATAAATAGAAGTTTATATTTGAAAATTTGAATGTTCAAACACTTACTATGTACTGTATCGAAGCATCACGATTTTCAATAATGGTTTTTTTTAATAAATAACGTGAACAACGCAATATTAAGGAGACACCATTTTATGGAATCTAAAATATTTTTTGCAGTATTGTTAAATCGTTATATATGTTGCTGACAGGATATGTCGGGGGATATAAGACTTCTTTTTGATGCCAGCACTATTAAGTATTGAGAATTGAGTACCGCTCCAGCCGGTGCTTTGGGGGCGTGAGGGATGTTGCCATTTTCATTATCCCTCATGTACAGACTCAATCAAACCGAGTCTGCAATTCTCTTGTAATTTTGTTGTGATAAATGTTTCCGAGGGATCACTTTGTTTCCAGATTTTTCTAAGTTCAACACTATTCCCCAGCTCGCGACTCGATTTTTTAAGGCGCTATACGTATCTTTTTTTCAATTTGCCCCATGTTTCGTTTTGCTCCAGTCTCCCCTTTAAATGTAAATAACAAATACATGTTTGACAGTTTTAAAGATTTTACACGTTCTATATGACTTTAAATAAACAGTAACGACTCGGGTTATATTGCATATGATCGTTTACATATAGTGGTATAACCTATCAAGCTTTACATCGAATTAATAATACTGTAACTTTTCTGTTCACTTGAAAAAAAAAAGAAATTACTTTATGAATCGACTGCAGTCGTGTAACTATATAAACTCTATAATACATGTACTGCAGTTTGTAACGTCGCTTTTCATTGAATGATCGTGATCTTTTATATAGTTTAGAATTATATACACGGCTGCTGTTTATTTGTAAAGAAATCTTATTTTTCCTCTAAAAATAATACTTGATGTATTATAAATTTGTTATAAATATTTTTGACAGGATAGCGGCCCGAGTTATATTTTCAAGCAAACATTTATATAGGGGCATATAACCTGTCAAAAAGCTTTATAACTAAAAATGTAAACATCAAGATTATCCAATGAAAAACGAAGTTACGTTGCAGGATTACATCTTCAATTAATATTAAGTAGGCAAGCTATGTGACTATATGTAATACTATTAGCGACAATATTTACCAACTATTATTTTATTTAAATATTTTGTTAATTTTTAATATCTTGATTCAATTGAGCCTGTTCAATACAATTGAGCATGCAACATCTCACATGCTTCTATCGTCGGCTTTTAAAAACAGTGTTTATTCATCTTTACTAAATTTGGTATTATTGCAAAATAAAAAACACTTAAAAATTGGTTCTGTTTAATGAGTATTTTCTACCATTTTGAAAGGTATACTACCACATGGGTGTGGAATAGTTCAATCATGGATACTGATTGACGTTAAAGAAGAAGTTTTAGTATCAGCTATAATGATGATTGCTGGTAAATCAGACTTTCGTCTATTTAAAGGTACTATTTTTTACCTTGACTTAAACATTTTACATAGATGTGAAATAGTTTATAATGCGCTAGTGTGCTTGCTGTTCCGGGAAGTTTCATCACACGGGCAGGTTGTGTAAAGTTTTATTTTCACAAGCCCATAGGCTAAGTCTTTATCTAAATCGCGTTAAGAAGAATCTTGAAAAAAAAAATAATTTCTTTGAATTACCGTAAAAATATAAAGTCAATACACATTCGTGACGTCACGTTCATTCACAGTTCAAGGTGTGAGAAATGTACTTATTACTTCAGTTGATAAAAATAGCCATATTTACACCCCCTCCCCCAAAAATGAATAAATAAATAAATTAATTAATAATAATAATTATTAGCACGAAAAGTCTATCATTACAAAAATATATAAAAATAGATCTGAAGAATACTTTCGGTACTAAACCCTGTCCAGGGTTTTGCACCTATAGATATTGAAAATTTATTCGGCAACACTTTATTGTCGTTTAGTACTGAACAAAGTTAATGCAATTTTGCTGTATTGAACATCTTTGTAACATGTTTTTTTTATCAATTTATACATTTTCCCGATCTTTTTTCCAATCTCTTATTCTGTTATTTCAGTGGATTTGACCCATATTTTGGTATCAAATAAAAAAGTGGGGGTTTTGAATGATGGAGCAAACCTCTGTATAGAACTCGATGGAGGAGAACGTTTTGACGTTTTTCACGTGTGGCTGTGTAAAAAGTATGAATCTACTGCAAACAATAAGTTATAAATTAAAATGTTTTGAGTTTGACAAGATTTATTTGAGAGGTTATACATGTATAGTGTTTGAGATAAACACGACTCGATACTTTATCTGTTGCGTATATAAAGCTAAACAGCCTATGCTAAACATACCTTCCTAATAGAAACGTGTTTAGGGGAGCGATGGCTTAGTGGGTAAGGTGTCGGCCTCTCTACCCAAAGATCATGGGTTTGAGTCCTAATTTGGTCACGACCATGTTTATAACACCAGTACTGGTTAGATCCAGGAAGCGGACTCGAAAGTAATTAATACAATTAGTTTCAGTTATGGCATTTCCAAGGTATTGCGGTTGTTGACAATTATGATAATCTTAAATATTAAAGAATAAGCCCTTAAAACTGTGCGGCAATATACATGTACGTTGATATGCCACACAAATATTTTTAAAAACAAAATGTACTGTAGTTGTCGTATTTTGCCGAATTTTCACGAACTTTGCCGAATTTACACGAAGTATTGAATGACTGAATGTCTTTAACAGATCTCAGCGAGGAAGATATGTTACGCTGATCACGAAGCCACATGAAACGTCAATAAGTGAGAACCAAGACGTCCTACAGAATAGTAAAACCGAAGATGCGTGGAAGTATGCGCGAACAATCATCAACATCCTAACGTATGAGCTAAATGATGGTAAATATATATATAAATATCTTTTTGACATATTCAGTTTTGAAAACAATTGCTATCAAATATTTTTTAGAACAGATGGTTCTTCTTGCTTCAATCTATTGTTCAATTTCTGTAATATTTAAACATTTTTTTTGCTTAGTATTTTGAAAAAAAGTCGTAATTAACAGATCGTTAACATTTGCTTTTACCTGCCCTTAAAATGAGCATATTTTTTGCGCAATCCATCTTTGTTTAAAGCATCGATCATCATACATTTTGGCTACTATATACAGACATAATAATTTCATGTTTTTTACTAGATTCAGTATATTAATATATATATTTATATACATTATATTTGTAACTATATATTATTTAATATGAACGGAATAAAGTATATATTAAAACATATGACAGTAATAACATGATAATATTAAACAACTTATGTTTAATGAATTTCAGTTTTGATCATGCAGAACAAGTTCAAAGATGTACCTTTCTTAAATGAAACCAGTGCAAAGCTTGCATCATCTATCGGTTACCTAGGTAACTATGCATTACATGTTTATGAAGCTCTTATATTTCAGACGTAAAACATTATTTTCTTCATAAGATATTATATCTTTGACATTTGCTAAACTACTTGTGTCGTATAATTCTAGAAGGAATCCGATTAAATAAGTTTTAGCTACACTGTATGAGATAACTAGTGTTGCTTTGGTGCACCATCCACGACTTTTGGCGCTATCTCCGTCACATTTGATCTGCTCAATTTCAAGTGTTATGTGACACGGGTAGGTTGCCAAAATGTCTCAGGTACACCACATAACAAACACCATATTGTAGTACAAACGTCATTGTATTAAAAAAATACCGACAAAACACAAAAGCTGCTTTCAATACGCAAGCCAAGTCACCATTCTCAAAAATAATGATGAGAAAATGTTGATTAAGAAAAGATAACGACGGACAACGAATGAAGATCGATGGTGGATTTAAGCACAAACACTCACTTCCATCAATGAGTTAACAAAAGAATTGTTTGAAAATCTGTTACTAAAAATCTTAAAATGGGAAAAATGGTGCAATAGGAAAAACTCTGGATTGATTTTAGAGTATGATTGTACAAATAGATCAAAAATCATCTTGGTCAAATAGTTTATTAAGTATTTCATGACCATGTTTTTTTCGAAAATAGATATTCGAAGTCAAAGTTGCAGGCAAGAACTTGGTGTTCAGGATTATGGTATCTGGGATTCTCAATTTACAGCGTCATCATGGCAACCATCACATCTACCAAGTCATGTGCGTCCTCAGTCTTCTGGTTGGTGCGCGCATATCTCGGACAAGGCGCCATATTTACAGGTTTACTTTTTACTATAATTTTACTGCTATTTATAATTTAAAATTGAAAAGTGGCAGAAGGACCAGAAGTTCTATAGCTTTACTTGTAATAAATTACCAGATATTATTACAATAAAGGTCATACAACAAAAACAGTGGCATTTGCAAAAGCAACAGCGGACCATTGTATTATATCTACACTATCGACCATGCAAATATTTCAGTTTTATGTTTCCAGGTAGATCTAATCTACATTACAGTAATAGATGGTTTCATTATTAAAAATTGGCATGACGTCTTCAGCCATAAAGTAAATAATGTGTATTTGCAAGAAGTTAAACGTCTGGGAACTTCATCATTTCATGTATATCATGGTACTAGTTTGCAGACGTTAAGACGATTGCCAAGGGTAAGTAGTCTTTAAAGCTGAAGATTATTTCTACAAAAAGGTAAACATTATTCGTACAAAAATAATCACTATATCTGTTAATGATAATAAAATAATTCATCACATAAACAGCGGCGCAGGAGTGATATAAAGCCATTTAATACAAACGATATTACACTAGTGTAATAACACTTTGACGTGACGTGACGTATATAAACATAGCGTTAAAGCGCACTAATGTTAGCATTACACTATTGGCGCGTCAATGAAAATGACTCTTTTTAACAGTTTACCGTTCTTATTTTATATATGTGATAAATAGAACATTATATTCGTGTAGATTAAATACTTAATTTATTGAAATCGTTGAAAAAACAACAACAAAATTTTGCTCGCAAGAGGCTCGCAAAATATGATTTTATTTAACTCGTTCAATAAATAAAGTATTAAACCCTCTATGTAGTAACAAATCGAACTTTAATGCGTTAAAAGTGTATCGTTTGTATAGTCAATGAATAAGTAATAACAACGTAAAATTAAGGGAGATTTAGTCATATATACATATCACGCCTGTATGGATCACATTACACTTAATATCGTACAAAGCTTACTAAATTGGTCGGCGTTGAGTTGGGGTTGTTTCATACATGTATGTATTCACATATCCTTACATATATGTGTATGTTCAAAATAGTCAAAATTATAAGCTGAATTAATCATTATTTCATGAACAGAATTTCAATTGTGATTTATCTCGGAAGCCTGGTGACGAAGAAGCGTTCATATTGAATGAACATTTTCTTGCAAGGTATCTTCGAGTGTATCCTAAAAGTTTCCCGGACACTTTCTTTCCATGTCTGAAGATGGAGATATTAGGCTGCAGGACCTCTGGTAAATTGTTCTGTATTTTAAACTCTATAAACAATAACGTTGATTATAGTAGTTAATCAGAAAATCGCTTTAATAATAATTTGTTTTTAACTAGAAAGATAGATGTAATTAAGAGTAATCATACTTAATGGAAATTTATCTTCATACCGCTAATTATCTTAAATAGACTTTGTTCATCTTTCAATCTTGACATTTAGAGAAATGTCATTATAATAAGTACGGACCGAAAAGCGAACAATGTAGATCATAAGAAAACTACGAAAGACCGTTTGGGACATTTTAACTTCCAGAATTTACTATTTCAGCTTCGTGAATTCTAGATTTAAACTTCGTGAATTCATGATTTCATCTTCACGAATTTCGTATGTAGAAAAACTTGAATTCCTTAGGTTATAATGTGAAAATGAAGATGAAACCGTAAAGTCATGAAGTTGAAATGTCCGCACAGGTCTTTCGTGGAAGATGGCACAAAATACGCCGGCTCATCTGAGTCTGTACTGGTCGAATAGAACTGTTTACCGACGTCTGACTGTTATGTTGCGTTTAATATGTTTTAAAACGAATTGAGATAAATTTCGTTTAAATGAAACCATATTTTCTTTAGCGAAGTCTTAAATTATCAAAACAAAATAGTGGTTTTTTGTTGTTTATTTATTTATTTATTTTTTTTTGGTTTTGATAAACAGAAATAATAATTTGTTATAACGAACTAAATTGCAAATATTTCGAAGCCATCTTACTAAGTATACTTAGTACTACATTTATAGTTTAATCGCACGCATTTCACTGTTGTGTTGTAGGTAATGCTCTACTTATACAGATCATCTATAAATAATTAAAATAAATTATATACACTTTTTTTTATTCTCACACGTAGACTACTTATCGCTTCAATGCTCGTTAAACGCCACAAAGAAGATATCAAGGGTTGACAAAATCTACGTTCCCGTTAATAAGCCAGGTCATGTTTACGCAAACATTTCGGTGCAAGAGTGTGAAAGTAAATGTTTGTATAAAGAACCCGGGTGTATTTCAGTCCAAAACATAGAAAACAGCTCATCTTGTACACTTTATTTTGAGGACTACACTCATAACTATGTTACAATGGAAACTGACAGTCCTGCAGATGTTTTTTCCATGGTCACGTGCCTTCATGGTATGTAACTTTATGTAACTTTGTCAAAGGTCAAAGAACGTCAATCTGGCTAAGTTCAGATCTTATGTTTACATGTAGTTCTGACATTGACCAAAAAAAGGTCACCTTTTCGTGACATTTCAGTCATCCGCATTCGTGTTCATGAATAAGAATCAGTTTCTATTTTGAACCGTGAGAAACCAGAATCATGTATCAAAATCTACAATGATGCTCAGGTCTTTTAGAAAAATAACATAGAATTAATGTTTTGATACCAAAAAAGATGAGATCTAATGTTCTAAAGAAACAAAATTCCAAATATCTTCTTGAAGTTTTTTCAATGCAAAAGTCATGAACGTGGGCGTTAGTTACGTCAATTTTCTCAAAACTATAAGGACTTTTCTCTTCAAACCTTGAATATTTATGTTTGATATTAAAATGTTGTGCAATATTAAAAGAGTACTTAATCCTTAACATTGTTGCAAAGCTATGCCCCCGTTTAAATATAAACATCAAAAAGTAAATAAATCTTTAATTAATTTTTCCAGTTTCCAGTCCAATCATGTCGAAAGACTTTTGTGGAGTCCTTTAAAGTTGTTCAGAGTTGGGGGTTTTTTTTTGCTTAATTATCTCCCTTTTTGAAGCAGACGTTTTGTTTTTACTCAGGATAAAAGGCTTGTGAAGTGCTAAGTCCATGTGTCATGTGTATTTGTTAGATGCTCTACTAGTTTTAATGACGATTGTCCGGTGCTGCTAGATGTTGTTGGGAGCAATGTCAGTTAATGTTGCCCTTCCTGGTCTTAGTTTTGTATTGCTTTAGAGCCAAAAGCTCACCGCAACTTTACAATTGTTTTTTTTTTGTGTGAAAGCTATTTAATCGGCAGATTTTCTCCTTGTTTGTCAATAATTGCAATATTGTTAGTTTTATTTTAGAAGCTAATTTGTTTAGTTTGGCATGTATGGAGTGAAATATGTCAAGTGAACATGTCAACAAGATCTAGCTGCTTTGTTTCAATGCTTAGTGTTTGACATTTTTAACTTATCGTTTCATATCATTCAAATAAGACCAAGAATCAACTATGAAAGGGAGCATTTGGATTATTGAGGAGTTCGATTTTACTGGACCAGGATTTCTTACAAGCATAGGATATCCATTTACATATACATATGGCTTAGCATATAGATGGAAGCTAGACTTTATCAATAAGACTTTGATGGTACGATTTTTGGACATTTCGCTGAAATCCTTTGAGGTAAATATAAAATGAGATGAGCTGTGCCATTCAGTCGTTTTTATTTTCCTTTTATATATTTCTTTTTACATGTAAAATGTTTCCAAAGAATTTAAAGAAGAACCATAATACATGTATATACAACAACAAAACATAAGAAAAGAAACTTGATTCTTGTGCCGCAAGAAACGCTTGCCTGATGACTGCGAATGTTGGTAGAATTGAACTTGAATAATAATCTATTCTAGAATAGTGAGTACTGACGATGTATCATCTCTTATATCATTAAATACCTATTAAATAAATTGATAGTAGTATGCTCTCTTTTAAAAAATCATGATCAAATAATTGTTTTGTAAACCTTTGAATAACCTGATAATTCCTTATTACATGATACATGTCTCTAAAAAAGGCCTTAGGTATGTCCTATTAGGATTGAATTATCTTACCATAGTAAAGCCAACCTGAATGGGTGGTAGGGCGTATGTTAAGTTATTATTGGTACACATTATCTTCTTTTTAAATGATTGACTATTGAAGCTGATAAGAAGGTTATAATATCTCCTGATATGTAGGAGATAAAAAAAAAATATGGCACTCGGAGATAACTCATTTGTACTAATTCATATCATTATTGTTTTCTCTTTTCGCCTCAAACAAGCATGATTTTAGCATTGATATGACATTAAATTTGCGTTATTACGCTTTTTTCTTGCGTGTAGTATTTTTGCCTTATAACGCCCTTTATCAATAACACCTTTTGTTGTGCGTTATAACACTTCTGGTTCTTGTAAACACGTCTTTTGTTTTGCGATAAAGCGCCTTTTGCCTTGCGTGATTACGCTTATATTCGTTTTATTACATTACGCCAATCATTTTGCCATACGCATTTTTTTCGCGTAATTTTGCACTTTATCCGCGTTTTTATCCCCTTTTTATGTCATAACGTCTTAAATATATTTAATTTAACTTTATTTAATTCTATGCTATTTTATTCGATACTAGGCTTTCGCACTTTTATTTCTTTAAAATTGCAAATCCTGTCTGATTCTTTTTCTTTTAAACGTTGTGGCTTCATTACATGATATATGTTGTCGTTTCTCCGTATCACGTTTTTTTTATAAATAGGTGTTAAACATTTTACATGTAGTTTTACATCAGTTGTAACGAAATATAATCCATGCTGTTTCTTAATAATCATTCGGTAACACATGAAACAGTTTTTTTTGTGCCCGAACTTTGGAGAAGGAGCATTGAGTTCCGTCCGTGTTCATGCTTGTCACATGTTGCCTGTGCTTGAGCTAGAATCAACAAAAAGTTACAGAAATGTTGATCAGCATGTGAGGTTTGGAACCTTGGGTTTCGCTTGGTATTCATGAAACCTTACAGGAATGTTGGTTAGCATTTATAGTGTACCAGGATTTATTCAGTACTTGTAGAGTTATCACCCTTGACTAAGTGAAAAAAAAATTTTTTGAGTTGCATGACCTCAAAAAGAATTTAACATGGGGTCATAACACTTAACAGAAATGTTGATCAGCATATGAATTTGTGCATCTTGGGATTTGCATGTGGATTGATGCTGTATTTGTAGAACTATTGCCCTTGACTTAGTAAAAATTGCAATGTTCAATTTGTGTCGCACATAGCCTAAAAGGTATTTGACCTTGAGTAATAAAACTTTCCAGAAGATTTGATCAGCATGTGAACTTCTGTACTTGAAGGTTTTCTTGTCTTGTAAAATTATTGCCATCTGATAAATAAAAATATACAATTTTCAACTTTTGTCGCGCGTAACCCAAAATGAATTTAACCTACAGTCATAAAACTTTCAAGAAGTGTTGGTCGGCATGTGTAGTTGTTCACCTGGGAGTTTGCTGGCTGATTAATTCAGTTTTTATAGAGTTATTGTTTTTGACTTAGTAAACATATTTAGTTTTCAAATTGTGTCGTGCAGTTTATTTCTGCAACTGGAGCATTTAAAATGAAGCGAAATCCTCACAGTATGTCTACACTGTGTAATATACACATGACTTAGTTTGCATGATTAAAATTCAATGTCTTAAAATCTTTAGGAACAGATGCAAGTGAGATGTAGAAGGAAACTTGCACGAATAACTGCCGTATACAGGCTCAGTCAAACCGAATGTACTACATTTTAAAATTTGCTTTCCTTGTCGGTTGATCTTCAGATAATCCTCTTTTGATCATTTATATTATTTCTATTTTAAAAACAGGAATCGGAGAAGACATTTGTTAACAACATCTACTGTAGGGACTCAATCATTTTAAAAGCATATTCAAGGGACGCACACAATAACAGCGATCCATTTTCTGACTTTAACACTATCGGCGACTTTGACTTATATGGAGCGGTTACAAGCGATCAAAATGGACAAATGCCAGTATTTCCAATGGGTCATTATCCTCATCATCAACAGATGTTCCTAGACACCTTCAATGTCTCTTCGACAACGAGTGATGAATTATCTACCGGCGTTTCGCTGTATATCATCTTCTACTCATGCTCGTCTGGCACAGCTTTGAATTTAGGTCGAGGATTTCGTTTGCATGTTTCTACAGAAGGTAAACCAGAGAATACAGCATTTTCCGTAACCTTTACTTACTAGTATAGAAATACAAATTTAAAGAAATGGCATAAAATCATCTAATCCTCAAAAGTCTTCTTTTAGCAACTTAGTTTTGTCAAATCAGTTAAGCTATCTTATTTTCGAGTCGTAGCCTTCTGAGTGCACTGTCCGCGTGACTGGGTTGTGTTTGGTGTTGCATTCTGTGGTTGTTGCCTTGCTTTCTTGTTGTTTGTTTTCATATTTTATACGATTTTTTTAGAACCGGTTATATGCGCGGAATATCAAATACGGACTACGTGTGCTTTACCAGAGATGGATATTATATCAAATCGGTTTCTTGGTCAGGTGAAACAAAGAGATCAAACTTGGGATATAGATATAGGAAATGAAATTGCTGACTATATTTTAATGACAATGGAGTTCGTCGACTTTGATATCAGTTGTCATAGAGGTAAGCAAATATAAAAGCTTTTTGACAAATAAAATGCTAAAACTTTCATTAAAAAACACACATACACACAAAACTTCTGAATTGGTACTCATTTCTCAGATAAATTATATATAAGTATTGTTTCCCTAATGGCAGTTAGTAAGCTAACAACCATGAACTACTTTGTATCAAAATACAAAAATACGAATCCCTAAAAAAGGTCCGAAGCGGCAAAATTGAAAATATTGCAGGTTCGGTTTAATTGAGCCTATGTATGGACGGTATTGACAATTGCAAGCTACCACCCACGCCCGAAAGCTAAAACGTTTTGCTACCTTTATGACATATCATCTCCATTCAAACCTGCATTGTATACATGAAAAGCAGGTAATATACTCTAAACTGATACAATTTCTTTTAAAAAAGCAACGCTCATAAAAGGTACGTTTGCCTTTTCTTTTGAAGTAAAGTCGTCTTCACATCGATGTTATTAAATGAGTTTCAATGAGATATAGATCTACATAGTTTTAATAATATTGAAATTTCCATATTGATATACGAGTAAACGATTGACTCCTAAAGAATTTGTTCATTTTTTTCATTTTATGCGTGTCTTTTCTAATTCTGACATGTGTGTGCTCCTTTGGAATTAAGCGGAAATCATATTACATATTAAATCATCAAATAAAGACGATAGTTTAAATGTATGAAATGTAAGAATAAACCTAAGCCAAAGGAATTTCATCATGGATTTATGTTTAATATTATAAATATTTGGTTTTAATTGGATACGTGTTATATACATGTTATAAATAACAAAAACAGCATGCATTCAAAATCAAAGAGATGTCAATCAACATGTTATGGTATACATTACAAAAAGAGTTAAATTAAACTACAATTTCCGTTTCGGCTCTTTGCGGGATTCGAATCTCTTATTTCGTAGGGAAATTACAACCTTAATACCAGTTAAAGAACTTAAAGTTCCTACTTTCGACTCACTATCTGATATATGGTAAAGCATATGGACAATACACTTGATAAATACTTACCTCTTTATCAGAGGATATGAATTAGGTCGCCCAAAATTGACGAGATATAATGATTTTACTTTCGCCGTCCGTCTGTCCATCCGCTCTTTTTTGTCCGACTGAAACTTGTCAAGCTTTCAAAGGTTAAACCACTGTTTGGATTTCAAGGAAATAGGTTAATCTTATAAAATGATCATAGCCTATTTGTATTTCAAGGAACCGCTGACTATTATGTTACTATGTGCAAGTAACGGAGTGCGTTTGTGTCTTCTAAATTGCAGAGTCGTCTTTAAAACTTAGCAATGAATTCGGCGAGGCATATGCGTATTGCAATGGTAACAGACCTTTTGGTAAGATAAGGTATCTAGCTGGAAAATACACAGTTACTTTTGTATCCAACCAGCTGCTGTCTGCACTGGATGATTTGTTTCGTGAAGGTTTTCACTTGTCGTACAGATTTGTCCCACAGTACGAGACTTTGCCAAACAGTTTACACGTATCGTCAGGTAAACTACTATTCTGTTTCCTTTTTTGGTTGATTTTTTTTTTGAACATCGAAAAGGTCAAATTGCAAACTGTTTATTTAACATAGATCTCAATTTCCTCCATCTGTAAAATTCTTAAAATTATTTTTTTTAGTGGGAACTTTCGACAAGACAGACGGATGACTGAAACTGAATAGTGAAAAGTATCCATGTTTGTCTACTACTAAATAAATGAAGTCATGTGTATTTATGAAACAAAAGATCTGAAATTTGAAAATATTTATTATCAAATAAAAGCTTAACAACTTTTTATTTTGTTGTTTGCAGAATATTTTAGTGGTACAACGGTTAAAGTTCGAGGTAATACAAGTTTATCTAATCTTATTACACTATTGTAACCTCATTTACATGATCCAAAAATAAACTCAAATCATGTCATGTTTATACGAATTAATAAAATTTCAGTTTTAAAATTTGGAATGATTATTACTTATGACTTGTACATTACACATATGATCGTTTTAGTTGACTGTACAGAAGATTTGCCAGACTGCCAAGTAAACAAAACATAGTTTCATACTGCCATTATTTACATGCAACTATTGTATGTTTGTATGGTCGCAAATGCCACTTAGGTCATGTTCCATTAGACATTCGATTGTGGCTGTATTGTTTGCTAGCCCAAATGGTATACAATTATAGTGATACAAACCTCTGTGCGTCACAATATTATCCACGTTTGAACGAATTGCTTTCTTATCAGTTATTCAACTTTTATGGAATAAACATTATGCATTATTTATTGTTTTCTTGTTTCATTCATGCATTAATTTCACAATCCGATTTTTATAAAAAAAATTATAGTACAGTTAAAACAGTGAAGGTGTAAACATAACCCCCAAAACAGAAATCATAGTATAAAAAGCAGTTCGGACACAAAGCTGTTTAAAAAACGAACCTACATAAAAATGTATCATAGTAAACAAAAGTCAAGCAATTATAATATTCCGTGTGCCGGTGTTGTACTTTGGTTAAATATTCGCATGGTATGTCAAATATCTTATCATACTAAATTTATGAGCTTTAAAATTCTGACTAGAAATATAAAATTTTTGCAATGTTTGCTCAGTGCCCGACATTTTTTTTAATTCATTGAAAATTCTGTTTACATTACACATTGTTTTGGGGGAACATGATTGGCGGTAATTATTGCCATAGACCAATTAGGACTATAATCGAATCATACCCTGTGTGATTTCTGATTAAATTTGTGCATCAAAGAGCAGTCTTAGTCTTCAAAACAACTGAAGGTTAAGTTTCAAAATCTCTAAACATGACTTTGGAAGCTTAATTTCAAGTTACTATCCAGGACTCATATTCACACGTGCGTCGTGAATTTTGAATGAAATCATAATTTCTGTGAATGAACTACTAAAATCACCCAAAAAGGTCAGATACGCTGTCCAACTGTCAGCTCTTTAATTATCTATTTTGCAGTTTGTGTAGGTGGACTTCATAAATGCTTTTTGATACAAGTGGTGAGGGGATACTCCTGGGAATCGGTATACCTGATGTGCAAAGAAGAAGGAATGACAATGGTCAATATGAAAACCATGGATGAAATGGTCATATTAAAGTCGGTTCTTTTAATGATTAATCGACAAAGAAATACCTATAATATACCAAAGGAAATTTTCATAGGTACTTTTGAAAGACACATATCCCTACATATCCCTACTGCTTTAAAAGAACTCCGCTGAGATTGAAAGTCCCAATGACAGAAAATCTAAGTTTCTTAACATAGATCTAAGGTGGCTGATTTGTGCCATTCGTATTTTCGCCCCACAACCTCGTCAAGCGAAAAGGTCGATAATTAACAAGTTAAACTTGCAGGGACGCGGAGCGGAACCACGCTTATTAACGCTTCGGCGGGTCAAAGTTTAATATATAAAACTTCGTCCCGCCAGGGTACAGAGCGAAATTTCAGAAATAAAACGGCGGGGGCGCGGAGCGAAAACACGCTAATTAGCGGGTGCCCGGGCGAACTTTATTAAATAAAACTTTGTCCCGCCTATCCGCTAATTAGGTTGCTGCGATCCCATTAAGCGAAGAGTCGAGAATAAGCTCGTTATAATAGCGAGGTCGCAGAGCGAAAATCCGCTTATTAGCGGGGCGAAGTTTGATAAATAATACGTGGCCCGCATTTTATTTCTGAAATCTCACTCTGTGCCGTTTTATTAATTAACTTCGCCCCGCGCTGTCGCCAATTGACGTGTTTCGCTCTGTGTCTCCGCCATTTTATCTTGTTAATTCTTGACCTTTCGCTTGGCGGGATCGCGGAGCAAAAAACACGAATGAATCAGCCGATATATAGATCAAAAGTGGCACTGCAAACATGAAACAGATATATTCGGAAATAAATTGAAAATCGCATTTTTTGTGATATTCTTAGCCCGATTTGAGTTAAAAGCGTTGCAATCCTTTTTAATGTTTTGTCATTTTTCATTATTATGGAGGAACAGAGTTTTCGAATGATCTGAAATTTTGCACAAACGTTTTTGGTCTAGCCCTTCATCTTACTGATTATGAATCTCAAAAAAATATTTTCAGTCCTGACATGTTAAAATACGTCCCTTCAAGATCAAAATAAGTATTCAATGTGTGCAAGATCTTCACAATTGAGAAAATAAGAAATCAACTTACTCATCTTTGGGTAAAATACTTTTAAATAAGAAATAATTGTTTTCAATAATTTAATACTCATTTGGCCTGTTTTGTTTACAGCAAACAATGCTAACATTGATTATAACTAAAGTTACACTCGTAATTAAATGGATAAAACTTTCATTTGATTCACCGAACACCAAATAACACTTTATAATGTTTGGTTACATTTGTAACTGTCTTATAATTACACTTCCTTTCGCACGCGAAACTGCTCGGCATATTTTATTATATACATTGTGTACAAACAATGATATTTATCCAGTCATAAAGGTTAGTAATTAACACAGCGTTCGTAAAAAAGCCTTTCAAAAAGTCCATATTTAAATGATTGTTAAATTGTTGAAAACAATTGATTAAGACCAGTGATCAATTTAAAAACGACATACATTAAACTCTTTTGTAGTAACTGTTATCAATTCATAGAAAGAAAAACAATGTCGTTATTCAATATGTAATTGTTGTTAAATCCAAAAAATAGGAATGGTTCGTATGTCCTTGTACGTCCATGTATTCGTGTTATTATATGTAATGAAACCTTCTACTGTTTAGGGTTATTACGCTATGTGGATTCGTCAGGTGCTATGCATGAACATTGGAGCGATGGATCACCCTTGTCGTACACCGCTTGGTAAAGCAATCTTACTTTATTGTTATTCTTTTATTTTTTTAATCCTTAGATGGATCAAAGAAAACTATATTTTTAGCAGTTTCCTACAACATAAATTCTTGTGATTCTGAAACACGCACTTCTGAATTATATAATAAGTAATAAAGATTTTAGGTTTGTAATATGGTCCTATTTAAACGGATGTTTGCATATGTAATCCGAGTCGCCAGGTCATACAGCCAGCCGAAATTTTTATTACGAATTTATAATATGCATGTAGCTAATTTAGATAGGAGAAAGATATGAAATTAATAAAAAAAAAGTCAACAGCACCGTGTATTTAGCTTTTATAAACGTCACTTTTTCTAATAAATAGCGACGTTACAAACATTATAAAATGTAATAAATGTTACTTTCTGCATAGAACTCATTTGGTGTTACATGTTACCCAAATTGTCATGAAAAATCATATTATTACAAATCTCATTTTATGTGCGAGACTAAGGGGTCATTAAATAGAGTTGTGTGATCAAACTTAATAGTTAGATAGCTATTTTTTTCTCAGAACACTTTAAAATGTTACTTTCTGCTTATTTTTGCATCGTTGACAGATCGAAATAAAACATATTGAATACGTACGTTGTTGTAAAATCTTGATTGAAGAAGTCCGTACAATTCGTTTGCAATTTTAAAAATGACATATTCTTTAAAGAATTTATTGAAGGACATTGTTCATTGTCTCATAACTACGATTCTGACTAAATTATGGTCATAAACGGACTAAATTCACACAGGTCCTAGTTTTTGCAGAAGCGATGGGTCCATCAGCAAACGGCCATTTTATCCCAACGCTTCTGCGACGAATACTCCTTCACGACTCCGAAGGACCCCTCTTCTGTGAAAGCTATGGCAAGTGTAAAAAATATTTCTAGTTTAATTTTGGCTAAATACAATCATTTGACAAAAACGCTTGGTTAGAGTTTGACATTCAAAATTATCATTAAATTGACCAAAAATGTTCAAGTTAAAAATCTTATATGTCCTCATGATCACTATAGATCAGTAGATTTCTATCTTATGTTCACATCATTTATGTGGAATATGTCAGAATTGTGTTATTTTGTTTAAGTTGCATGCTTCATGAACCTCCAGTTTTAAACTACTAAAGGTATCAATTTGAAATAATGCAACATGTTTTTGGGATCAGAATGAAAGGTTATTTCTATGATTACATTTCCCTAAACAGGAATTTATAATTTTGGCAAAAATAAAAGAAATCACAGATTGGTCAAGTAACAAATCATCCAGCATTTTTGTTTTAGTAACACCAATATCTCTACAGTTCGAAATAAAAGCCGTTTTTTTCAGATTACTTTATTTGTGTAATCACAAATGACAATATGTTCAATTTGTTCTGTGAACCGATGATGATGATGATTTTTATTATGAGTAATATGTTGTCTAATGAAGGTTTTAATGTAGAGTTATGTTTGTAGGGATGAAGGCGAACCAACAGATATGACTTTAAAACAGTGTACAAAAATGGATTTTCAAAGACCATCCGTTAATAACACTTGGAAAACACTCTCGTGTTATTTGAAGCAGCTGGAAGTATTAGCCGTATGTGAACAAGTAGACACTGGTTATGGTGTTTCAAAGCATAAGAAAAGTACGAAGAAAGTATATGAAATATTCTGAATCTTTGAACTTTATATTTACACCCAAAAATACAGCATAGTAATGATTATATATTATAAACATTGCTGTAGCAACCAACACCACAACAGCGGCAGCAATTAAACTTAAAATATAATTCAAAACCTAAAGTATGTTTAAAGCAATAAAATAAATGGTAATTTTTAAAGGCTAAACATTTTGTACTTTACTTTTCATAATAATGCATACTAATTAATGTGGGTGTTTTTTCTCAGTTGTTTTCTGCCTTAACATTTGATTTAAATCGTTCGTTTACATGTAAGTAACTTTCGTTAAATTTTAAAGTTAAAAATGCAGCACAATAATTTATTAAAGAAAATTCGTTCAATTGAAATGGGATATAGCACTGTAAATTATTTTTCAATGCATTATTTTTCCTAAAATGTAGAAAGTGTTGCAGTAACATTTATTTATTGACATTCGTTTAACTATAATATGAAAAAAATGCTGCTGCACCAATTTCAAAATTTATCAAAGTACATTCATTTATCTTAAATTTTGAAAATGCTGCATTTTCTTTCATTTCCGGTGGTCTTAAATTACTTATATGTGAAAATTACTGTTAAAGGGCGTTTGTTTAATTTAACGTTGAGTATGCTACATAATCATTTGCTTCTTTGCATTTATTTTTCTTACATACAAAAGATGTCTTATTTTCAAACATTTCTGGACTTTCGTTTTACCAAAATGTAGAATATCATTCAATGTCTTTAATTTCAGGGCAATTGTAAAAGTAAAAGGAGGTAAATGCTGCATTATCATTATTTCAGGGCACTCGATAAACTTAAATGTAGAAAACGCTGTATTTGATCAAAGATATCTTTCCACTATCTTCAAATGTTTAAGTGGAGAGTGGATATCTAGTTTGGCAAGGTGTAATAACATAGCAGAATGTCTGGACTCTTCCGACGAGTTAAACTGTGGAAATACAGGTAAAGAATTGGTTCGTTCAGTACATTCTCTGACTAGGTAACAGTAAAATGCTATCATTATAATATAATCAGTAGCTTGGTTTCTATAAAAGACTAATTGATAAAAATGATAATTATGTAAGAAACAATGGTGGTGATGATGATATTGCTGTTGATAATAATCCAATAAATAAAAATTATCTTTGATTGTTCACGAAAAACAATTGTTTTTAAAGTTTTGAAAATGATGATCCACGAACATGATTTTTTATTGATAATTTTTGCGATATAAACAGATATTTATTGGAACAAAATGACGATCATGATCACAATATTTGATTTCTATCACAATTATTACAATAACGTTTGAATAATAAGATGGATTTACATTTTAAACTGCTTGTGAAACGGATGAACTGGTTTTTAGATAGCCTTATAGGCTTATTAACACATACCAATGCTATAATTGTTTTTTGTAGAAATGCTTTGTATTTAGGGCGTTCTGTTTTTGTTTTAGAACGGAACATTTTGCTATATAGATTTTTTGGTCTTTGGCCACTTGTAAAGTTACAGTTTTACAGTGTATTGTAATATCTCTTTAATAAAAATTGATTGCAACTATATTTTCAACATAAGCAACTCAAATTCCCGTAATCAACATTAAAACATTACGAAAGAAAGGTAGGGCTTTTTTGTCTTAAGAAGAAAAATTCGCACTCTTACTAGGATTAATATGCTAAAAAGCAAGAAAACTTAGTCTGTTTGAAATTCAAGTGATATTTTTAAAGAAGAAACATAATGATGCAATCGTAAGAAAATTATTCACTGAAACACAAGCACATTTCAGTTATACTCGTTAAAACCTGAAATTTGATGTTAATGATCGTGTAATACAGGTGTATTTAAGAATAAGAAAATTAAATGCAGAGGGTTGGTTACCAAATGGTTAAGATGATTTACCTTTTAACTAGGGATCATGGGTCTGAGACCTACTGGAATCACAAACATTTTTTCCATACAGTACTGACCGCATGTTCACTAAGATTTAAGAAGTAGGAACAAGATCCGGATCATAATTAAAATCCACAAACACCCCATAATTAATCCTCAAAGATTTGATATTCAATATTAACTTGATAAAAGTGTATATGTAATAGCGTGATTAGGAAATTTTAGAATAAAGTTATATTCCAATATAATATATATTAAGCATTTTCCAATTAATCTAAATATTGATTCTAAAATTGATCCTTATTTTTATCAGACTTTTTTTTTTGTATTTGTATTGTCTTTCATTTTATTCCAAAATAGAGTAGAGCATTTTGCAAATAAGTTATTGTTTACATCTTGCTTATGTACCATTTAATTTTAGTCTAAACAATCAATTTTAGTTTCATAAATCAATGAAAATAATTTCAAGATCATTTGATCGTGACCATGAGTGTTTTCTTTGGAAACACGAGGTCTGGTTAGTCCGGAAAGCAAGACATCGGCCAATGTTGGTTCATATAATGTTCAAGTTTTCATCAAAATTGTACTCATATTAATATTTTTTAACAAAAATAAGTAACGAAATTCTCAAAATGCAAATAGACATTCTTTATTCATTGACTCATTCAAAAACATGAAATGTTAATGTCCCATTTGGTCGTGGGTGTAAATGACTCTGATTTTATTGAGAATATATCCTTTTTTATTCTTAATCTTTTTCATTTTATAGAAGATATGTCTTGTACGGATGACGAATTCAAGTGCTCTGATGGGCGATGTATACATATAAGTCTAGTTTGTGATTTTAAAGCGGATTGCGTAGATGCTGCCGACGAATTTTGTGGTATTTGTTTATTGTTTATAACATCGGGATTTATTAGCTGAAATTTGTCACGAGTAATTTGAAGTTAATTTTTATATTTGGAATATAAAAATGTAAATGCCTATCATTTAAATCGTTGAATACTAGAATAATCTTCAGAAACTTGTCACACATTAAGTTCAATTGTGCCCCTCATTGTTTCTGTTGTCAACGATAAGTAGCTCCTTTCTCTAGACTTCTTTCTTATATTTTGCATTTTCTATTCCTCTGCCCTCTGGTCCTTCCTTCTATCCACTTATCTGTTTGTGTCTCCTTTTATAAAATGTATTCTTTAATGATTTCTGCGTTTTCTATAATTTCTTTTATTCAAATAATTATAATGGCATGCGGCCCGACCGTTGCCCCTGTCCCTTCTACCGTTTGTTTGGTGCACTTCTGGGTTACCTGTCGGTGGCCCTGTACTGCTTGTTTATTTGGGGGCATGCCTTCATTGAATGCCCTTCCCTCTTCATCATTGCTTTTATATTCTAAAACAACACTAAAATAAATCATTACTTGATAATTTGTACATGGGTATTAAGCTGTACAAGTCAGACCTCTTTTCAATGCAACAGAAAGTGTCCTTGCAAATTTTGATTAATAGATATATAAATTATGTAAATAAAAATGCAAAGATATTATGATTCATTTATGTAGATATTTTACCGATATAAGCTGTGTAAAAAGTGTAACTATAGTATAATTATAGGTTGTTTCGAATAAAATAAGGTAATCGAATACAACGAACTGTTATCAACTTAAGAATCAACTATTGATTTTAGATTGTTAACATTTTATGTTTGCGGGGTTGAATCGTGTATAAATTTATACTGTTTTCAGAACATCCAGCCTGTGCCGAAGACTCTTGTGACAATGGACAGTGCATTCAAAACCATGAAAGATGTAATGCAATTCAAGATTGCCTTGATGGAAGTGACGAAGCAAATTGCGGTTAGTGTGGCGTATTATACATTACAGTAAAATGAAAACATTCATTTGCGTTTTATACTGTTATTTATATTCAATATATTTTCCTTCTTATTCATTTTTCTTATTTTCATACAGAATTTTCTAATGCATATAAAATTTGTATCCAAATATTCAATATTGTGTTATCGATTTGAAACATTTTTTTCAGTGTTTTTATATTTTCGTGTTGTTTTTGTTTTTAAGGTTACAATTTGATATCTTTTTCAAACAGTGTAGTTTTTGTTCTTAAATGATTTTGCTTATATTCTGTATAATTATATCTAAAAATAATAAACATGTATTTAACTAAATTTGGTTGATAAAATACAGACAAAACATAATTCCTTAAAAACGCCCAAAAAGGCAAAATTGAAATTTTGCAGACTCGGTTAAATAACACATACTAAAGATTAAACGAGAAAAAAATGCTAAATTTGTCACACGCCTGGCCTGTTGGCAATTTGCTGCATAAAATCAATTTGTATATGTTGCAGAGGCATGCAGTGCTGTAGGAACATTCCAATGTCTGGACAGATCTTGTATACCTTCTTATCTAGTGTGCGACATGGTTCATGACTGCGATGATGGTGCTGATGAAATATCATGTGATCATAATTACACAACTTGCGAAAGTTTGCTCAAGAATGGGATAAGACAAAGTGGATATTTTCAGATAAGTATGAAAAAAAATGCTTAAATAACACCATGTTATTTAGAAAATATTGATACTGTTTATAACACATGGTAGGCTTAAGTAATTATTCTGTAAGAAAGGCGGATCCTAATGCATGCATTTTGAAAAAAATATGGATTTATTTTATATTTATTTTCTAAAGAAATAATTTGTGTAGGTCTCTCCCACTTTTTGTTGACATCGCTGTATGCATATTAAAGTTTATTTTTTCAATTGAAACCACAGAAAAACTTTATTTATATTAAATGATCTTGCGAAGGACTAGAAATAGTTTAAGAATACGAATACATCTGTGACAACACACCGAAGTATTGTAGCTTAAATCTTCATTTCCAAAACCTCAAACTTTCAATTTCTGGTTACCTACATATTGAGACCATTTTAAGAAACAACTAGTTCAATAATCACATATATAATGCAAATAACATAACAGGTTATATTGCTATACAGATAAACTATACGTTTATCAAGATTCACACTATGAATAACCCGTCTCAAAATATATAAATTAAAATCTTAGTAAAATAATTTAATTCCTTTTTCTTTTCAAACATAATATACCAAAATCTTTTATTTCAACTATCATATTAACATAACAAACTAAATGTTGGACAACTGTAAAATTACTTTATTTCTTAAAACTGTAAAAACCTACTATCAAATCAAAATCAATAATTTCCGCGAGAGATTAACTTCTGCTAATTTGCATACTGTAGATTTTCACGATAATAAATGTTTGTATCTCACTATCGCATTAAGTTATAATATTTTACTGAATGTAAAATTAGCCCGATATTGTTATTTCACATATCTTTATCTGTTTACAAATATATCATATTTAGTTAACATAATCGACAAAAATATTTCATTGGAACGGTCAGATTTCATCTAAATTATATTTTTGAGTTTGTTAAGTCATGGGCGAATTACATTTTTTTGTCGCACCCGTACTGTAAGGATCATACGGCGACCTTTAGCTTTACTGGTGGGGGAAAACATCAGGTGATTCTCCGTGCATTATTTCAGGCACAAACTGGTATCCGAGTTGAACCATCGACAATCAGTAAAGGCCTTTTCAAAGCAATACAACATTTGTATTTAGACCGTAAATCTATATCGTATGAATCATCAATTTTCCCTCCAAAACAATTCCTTCAAAACAGATCCTTTACAGAATGTATTCCCTTAATTGTGTCAATGTTTTATTATTGTTGGTATTGACCAATTATGAAAGTTGATTTAGAGGTAGGCCGCGGATAGCATGGCGGGAGCATTTAGGCATGGAATGAATAACATTACTGAGCACCTTATAGCCGATTCTGTTTTTTGATCTCACGGTGAAAGTTTACTTTTTCTGCTTGGGTAATGATGGAAACTCCTTCATCTAAAATAATAGTCTATAATCATTTTCTGAGTAATTTGGGATTCAAACATGCTACAACTTGGGGGCTATCCAATGATTTTTCAAACATCATTTTTACTCCATCTTTGTTTACTACTTTGTTTACATTTTAGCCCTTATTGTTCTGGATTTTCAGTTATTAAACGCATTATTAGGGGATAGTCGGGAAACATATCACCTGTCATCGTTGGAGGTCTGTACAGATAGAACATGTCCTATCCTGTAAATCTAGTATTAAGTTGTATGAATTCAAGAAATATATCCTTCACACAGTAAGAGTTGCTTGTACAAATTAGTTTTGATTGGTGTTGTACTGCAAAATCCTACCATATGTTGAGGCCTTAAGCTGGCTTGTAAGCTTTACAACATGAAATAATTTTAAGTACATGGCGGTGTTAAACCCCAAAACGGCGAGGGTTAATTACATTAATGACTCGGCCACGGACGCCCCGCGCATTGTATCATTAATTTCATTAAAAGGTAAATACAACATATTTTAGTTTTATCGATATAAATCTTTATGAAATTTATTTTTGTTTTGATCTAGATAAAGAATATTTTATCCATTGCGATTTTGATAATATCACCAAAGGTGGCAATTGGGTACAGATGTCACTTCCAACTATAGACTGGAAACAGTTAACTAGTGACAGTCTGAGCGTTTCTACTGCGGGCTTAACCATTCCTGTTGAAAATGAGTTCCATTGCAGTCAAAAGGTATATCAGTAACTTAGCTATATCAATAACATATTGTTTTTCCTCTAAATATATATTAGATTTTATAGCTAGATGTTCGTAAAACGAGCTTTTATTTTGTAAGCTATATCATGATAACTTTGTCAATAATTTCAAAATAGGTACACATAGAAGGCAATGCTAAATAGAATTACAATTATCCGCTTTATAAACATTAATTTATTTACAATCTCGAGCTAAAGTAACTGGGAAATCAGTTTTTTTATTTTCTATTTATTTTCTATCATATCTCCTCTTGACTAGTAAAATAAAAAGCACATATTGACACAGTAAGATACTAGCAAAAAAAATGTTGACAGTAGTTTGTCTAAGAATGTTATATGAAATATTAAATATTAATGTACTGTAGCACCGCACTGTTCACCGCACGCTGTGAAATTTAACGCACATTGGGGTTAAATGCATTTTGGGGTCAAATTTGAAATTGAACCCAAAAAGCGTTAATATGCTGCATACCTTCTAAATATATATATTACATATATCTATATATTTTGGCCTGAAAGTGTAGTCGTTTTGATTTTAAAAATATATAAACAAAATGTGCGTATTGCAAATTGGTATTTGCACTACAGTAAGTGTTAGTTCTTTTATTTTAAGTTCCAGAAATTCTTTCTTTCTATTTTATTCTTATCATTAAGTATTTAATTTGCTTTTTATTATCCCCCGCCGGAAGGCGTCGGTGGATATAGAAAAAATCTTCGTCCGTCCGTCCTTCCGTCCGACATTTTGTCCGACATTTTTGTTCGGAGCATATCTAAAAAAGTATTTGAGGTATCAACTTGAAACTTCACAGGTGGATAGATCTCTCTGAGGAGGATTGCAGTGCACAAGAATGATATCTCTACCCTGCATAATTTTTGAGTTATTTCCCTTTGTTATTTTTTCAAACTTGATTTTTGTCCAAAGCATAACTCAAAAAGCATTTGAGGTATCAACTTGAAACTTCATAGGTGGACAGATCTTACTCAGGAGGTTTTTATTCCACAAGAACGATAAATATACCTTTCATAATTTTTTAGTTATTGCCCTTTGTTAAATATCATACTTTCACCTGAGTGGATCAAAACTCAAAAAGTCTTTGAGATGTCAACATGAAACGTCAAAGGTGGATAGATCTTATTGAGGAGAAATGCTGTGCGCAAGAATGATAACTCTTCCCTATATAATTTTTGAGTTATTGCCCTTTGTTCTTTTCATACTATTTTTGCCGAAGCTTATCTCAAAAGTGTTAGAGGTATCAACTTGAAACTTCATAGGTGGATATATCTCATTGAAAAGTGCAGCGCGAAAGAATAATATATCTAACCTGCATTATTTTTCAGTTATTGCCTTTTGTTATTTTTCATGCTTAATTTTTGTCCAGAGCATAACTAAAAAAGCCTTTGAGATATCAACATGAAATTTCATTGGTGATAGATCTCACTCAGGAGGTTTGCACTGCACAAGAATAATAACTCTAACCTTCACATTTTTTTAATTATTGCCCTTAGTTTTATTTCATACTTATTATTTTCCTGAGTGGAGCATTATTCAAAAATTCTTTGGAATGTCAACATGAAACTTCATAGGTGGATAGATCTTATTTAGGACGAATGCTATATACAAGAATGATACATCTACCATTTATATTTTTTGAGTTATTGTCCTTTTTTTTTTCATACTTTTTGTCCAGAGCTTATTTCAAAAAGTATTACAGGTATCAACTTGAAACTTCATAAGTGGATTGATCTCATTGAAGAGGAGTGTAGCGCACAAGAATGATAACGCTATCGTGTGTTATTTTCAGTTATCGCCCTTTGTTATTTTTCATGCTTATTTTTTGTCCAGACAGTAACTCATCAAGTATTTCTATATAAGTTATGCACTTGAAACTAAAAAAAAATATAACTTAGTCTCTGTCTGTCCGTCCGTCTGTCCTTTTGTCCATCAGTCTGTCCGTCCTTCCGTCTGACAATTTTGTCCGGAGCATATCTCAGAAGTATTTGAGGTATCATCTTGAAACTTCATAGGTGGATAGATCATATTAAGAGGGGATGCTGTGCACAAGAATGATATATCTACCCTGCATAGTGTTTCAGTTATGACCCTTTATTACTTTTCAAACTTAATTTTTGTCCAGATGATAACTCAAAAAGCCTTTGAGATATCAATATGAAACTTCATAGGTGGTGGATATATCTTACTCAGGAGGTGTGCATTGCACAAAAGTGAAAATTCTACCCTTTATAATTTTGAGTTATTGCCCTTTGTTATTTTTCATACTTATTTTTTCACCTGAGTGGAGCATAACTCAAAGAGTCTTTGAGATGTCAATACGAAACTTCATACGTAGATTTATCTTATTAAGAAGGAGTGCTTTGCGCAAAAATGATAACTCTTTATTATTTTTAAGTTATTGCCCTTTGTTTTTTTATACTTTTTGTCCGGAGCTTATCTCAAAGGTGTTAGAGGTATCAACTTGAAACTTCAAAGGTGGATAGATCTCATTGAGGAGTGCAGCACACAAGAATGATAACCTACCCTGCATTTTTTTTTCAGTTATTGCCCTTTGTTATTTTCAGCCATCAGTATTCACATAGGTTTCAAATCTGTAATCACTTCAGCCATCAGTTTTCATTACCAAAAAACCTCTTAAAATTGAATTATTCTGCTCTACTACAAATACATTCTTCCAATGAGCAAACACATCCGGCCGGGGATGGCCATGTTGACATGGCTCTTGTTACTTTTAGATTGGAATATACCCTCAAAGAGAAGAGGAGCAAGGCATGCGGCTTGATGGAAAAGATGTCCCTATGGACAATATTACACATACTTTTCTCCCCCTTGCGAAATCAATACGGTAAATTTATACCCACTTCATGAAAGTTTTGGAAATAAGTTTATTTGCAGAATGAATCTTTAGCCAACCTGAGCTAGTTGAGGGTGAGCTTTTAGGATCGTTGAATGTTCGTCGTCCGTCCAAATTTGTTCGTTAACACTCTAGCGGCCACATTTTTGCCTCAATCATCATCAAACTTTGTCAGGATGCTTGTCTAGGTAATTGCTCGGGGGAATGCGAACATGGGTCATCTCGGATGAAAAACTAGGTCACAGGAGCTAAAATTAGAAACATCTTGTTAACATTCTAGTGGCTACTGTTTTGATCCAAATATCCTGGAAATTGGTCAAAAAGTGTGTTAAGAGGATTTCTAGATCAAGTTCGAAAATGGGTCACTTGGGGTCAAAAACTAGGTCACACCGCCCAAATATGGAACAACCTTGTTAACACTCTAGTGGTCACATTTTTGACTCAGTTGTAATCAAACTTTGTCAGGATGTTTGTCTAGGTAATTGCTCGGCTAACTTTGAACATGCTTCATATCTCGGATGAAAAACTAGGTCACAGGAGCTAAAAAAAAAATATTGTTAACACTCTAGTGACTACTGTTTTGATCCAAATATCTTGGAAATTGGTCTAAAAGTTTGTTTTAATGATTTCTAGGTCAAGTTTCTATATGGGTCACACTGCTCAAATATGGAAAATCCTTGTTAAAATTCTAGAGGTCACATTTTTGACTCACATGTCATGAAACTTGTTCAGGATGCTAGTCTGGGTAATTGTTCGGATGAGTTCGATGGGTCAGGTGAGCGATCTAGGGCCATCTTGGCCTTCTTGTTAAAGTGAGTCGTATCAATGCATGTGAATATTGAAACTAAGTTGTTAAGCTGAATTAACCCTTGTCTCTCATTGCTGATCATTCGGGATTAGAAGTCCGTTGAAAATAAAGTGGTACTTCATGGTTAGTTATCCAAAAAAAGTCGGTGCGTTGGAGCGAACACTGAGATATGACCAAAATTGTCTTAAAATCACTGTAATTTGTACTAACTAAATGGAGAACAGTACAGACGTAATCAAACGTTACCAATGTACAGGCTAATACGCACATTGTGTTTGTACTGGCCGCATTGGTTCGGTCTCCGTCAGCAGGTAATGAATTAAACAATTTATATATAATGTATGTGGGTTACATTTTTTTTAAATTTCATATTCTGTATTTTCAGAAGTTATTATTATTTCGAAAGAAGTGTGTCAGTGAACTACACAACAGTTGATATAAGGAATAGTAAAAACATGAAAGCATCTAATGCTTGAGTAAAAGTTTGGAATGCTGAATGCAAGAAATGCAAGTTCCACTATCTTAAATATCTTAATATCTATGTTTGCAATGTTTTACATATAAAAAGTGCAACGTTTGGTTTAAACAATATTTATTTTCCAAATAGATTTACACACATGTTGTACAATATTACACAATCTAGTAATAACAAATAGAAATATAATTAAAACAATCATTGTGTTAGTATAGCATACAGAATAGAGGATAAAGCTTTGTAGCTTATACTAAGCCTCGCTTCTGTCTGTCATAAGAATCTGCACTGACGATATTACTTCATTTGAAACATTTTTGAACCGGAACAAAATAAATAAACTAAAGGGTAGACCTGGTTTTAAATAAAGAGAAAAACAGATAAAACAGACAAAAAAATCAAAAAGAAAAATGTTTTGATTTTTAAAACATTTTAAGTTTAGTAATTATCAAAGAGAGAAAATAAAGGTAAGGAAAGTCCATGAAGTAAAGTTAGGAGGGGAAGAAAGATTTGAGATGTGTGGGTCTTTTTCAGGGACGAAGCGATAGTGGGTTTTAATTAGCGCTTAAATCTTTGTGTATGTGTTATAAAGCCTTGCACATGTTTAAAAATAGTTTCGACGTTTCATAAAGTGCAACGTTTCATAAAGATTTAAAAAAAGACAAATCCAAATTTTACATTGAAGACGTAAAAAGGTAAGCTAAGCACATTTGGTAGTGATTGCTTTTTCTACTTAAAAGGCAATACAATAACATTTGTTTTAAAGTATAGAAATAAAAAAAATTAACAAGCCATCTAAGCCAAAACAAACCATAACAAAAATAAAATTATATCATATGTATAAACATATCATTGAAGCTCATTTAAAAGGCCCATCCTATGTAGGTAATGGCTGGTGGGTGGTATCCCTTAAATTTTCAAACTGAATTCAGTTCCAGGGAGAGATTTTCAAAAATATTTGATATAAAATAATGTTTTGTACAATGAAAAAAAATCCTGAGTGAAGCTGAATGATTAATCTATCAGTATAGATAAGAAATTGCAAAAAGTATGAACAAATGATAACAGAAAATAAAATTTGAACAAAGGGGAGGAGTTTATTATGTAAATATCTTTGTGACCACATTGTTAGTAAACATAGCAATGTGATCACATGGAAATCCATGCACATGCAATAAGTACATTAATGCATTACTTACTTGATATAATTTTGTAAGTTTTGTCAGAATAATCCAATTAGCCTTGAATGAATTACAGTTTATATTAATAAAAAATGCATAAATCCAGTACATTTCACAATGAAAATGAACACAATGAGAAAACTCTTTGTCTGTATTTCCCACTATTAAAAGTTTATCAATTTTACAGACACATAATATTCAAGTTAAAAATAATTGTATAATTCTCAATGTCATCAACTCCGGTCAGAAATAGTGTCAAGTATAGGATTGCACTAATAGATTAACATACATGTGAGTTTTCTTACTTTATTCAAAATACAATTTTGTGTAGTTGAACAAGAAAAGTTCTCTTATCATTTCCTCACCGAAGAAATAAATTATTATTTCTTAGTTACTTCCTTACACCAAGCATTGGGTCTTTACAGAATTGAACAAAATTTTTGCATTTGATTTTTTTTTAAATGAAGGTTTTTTGGCCTTGACCTTTTTCTATTCAGGACTTTTCTTTCACATTTACACATGAGGAACAAAACATTATTCATATGAATCCGTCAAATCAGAATCAAAAACATTAATTTTATCTGCTATTTGTCTTGTAATAGTACTACAATTAGCCGTCCCTGATGGTGTCAGCTATTTTTCCAGTTTTATATGGCATGTGCACATTTTCCACGACTCATTTCATTTCTCTAATATTGGTGACACACTTTTACCAAATTCTAATTATTACGGATAAACATAGCTTCAATGGTAAGTTTCTGCTCTCACTGACCAGTAACAAAGACAAAACAAACTTATCCATTTATACTAAAAAATACAAATCAATGAAAGCACCAAACAAAATAACTATTTTCCTAGCACAAAAAATCCCTTATATACTGATTTCAGACAAAGGTCATCTAAATATAGAAGATGCAAAATATGTAAGGTATGGAAGGTATAAATGTGTAGTCACATTTTTTGTTAAACATCATCATGTTAGAATCTAAATTGTATCAATTTTGAAATAAGAAAACAATTTCCCACATTGTTTGTCTAAGAAACTTTTCACTAATTAGATAATATATTAAAATCAAGAACTACTAAGCCCTGTCACCCTTTCTGTATTGTAGTGTTGTATGCCAATTAAACACAGAAACATGATTTTTTGTTTTATCTCTGCTGATAGAAGCGTAGAAATACACTTTCTTATCAAAAAATGCCTGAGGTATAAAATTATTTACCGTTTTACATGTACTGAATAATGTGTGATAGGTTCAAAACAATAAATATTGCAAGAATAGATATATCTGACAGATAAACTTCAAGTCCTAAAACGGGAAACCACCGGTGGTCAGAAAGAAGTAGACTTACTTTTGTTGTCTTTCTGAAAAAAGTCAGTAATATTCTGCTTTGCAGAAATGCATCATAAAGGTAGGTTTTGTTTGTGTGTAAAAATCCATTGTCTGCTTCAGTTATTTTTAGAAACATTACACTTGGTCGGCTTTTGCTGGACGTCTATCACTAATAAAACAATGTAGGAAGTGGGTTAATTTGCATCCGATTATGTGATCGGATGCGATGTTAAACCAGATCATCTAAAATGCATTTATTTGTATTCATGATTTGTTGAACCATCTTTTGATTGTTTTATGGCAATCTAAAAGGTCAGACTGATTCAGTACTTTGTAATAATACGTATTAAAAGTTACAATTAGAATCTTTAACCCTTTCACTGCCATTCTAAGGGACGGCTTAAGCCGTCCCTGTTATTTTCGGCGTGTTTGCCATATGGACGGCTTTAGCCGTTTCTATAATAATAATAGTAATAATAATAAATTAATAATAATAATAAAAATAATAATAAATATAAAGAAAATTATACCATCGACAATAATTATTAGTATACTAACAGATTTGGAAACATATATAATTATTATAATACATATAACAAATAATAATAATTATATTAATTAATAATATAGTAATTTCTTAGAAAATCCTCTGGCAAATAGGTGAACAATAAAACAATAACCCTCTGGCAGCGAAAGGGTTAATGGTTTTATATAGATAATGCCGCTCTTCAGGCTTTATACTGTTGGTGGCGCTATTTTTGCACTTAATATTGAAATCCTTTAAACATCTTTAAACAGACTGTTCGTATTAGTATATATAGTTAGATGTGATCCGATAATATTTTTTATTGGAACATCTACCGGTTCAAAAGCTGAAAATTCATTGATTGTGTTTTATTAGGTGTGAAATGAATATTATTACTTACACCAAATACTGTATAGTTACAGACTTGATAAAATGACATTTAGATTGTTTCTTGGTTAAAAATGGTCGGTAAAATTCTGTTGACCTAATTTGCTATCTTTTTTTGATGGTGTTCTTTATTTTCTCTTCTTTATTCTGAATTATACAAACTATCGTTTTTGTTTTTTTTGTGACCAACTTGATCTTTGTGCATAAAAGTATGTTTTCTTCAAATTTGAATGCAAATGATAAACACTAGGATTGAGATTTTATCATTTATTCTTAATGAAAATCTGTTGAAAAATGCGATAATAATGAAAGGGTTCAACTGTTTCTGGTAATATAATATTACTTACAGCTGTGCCAGATTATGAACAAAACGTACATTGTCGACTTGGGGCTAGGCCTGTCAACCAGTCATATAGATGCTTATATGACAAAGGGTGGAAAGATATAATCAGAGGTTGCAGGTCTTTATCGCATATTCAAAGCTGTGGTAAGTACATATTGTCGTGGTTTTGTTATTAAAGGTCATACACTAATATCATAAATAAATAAATAGCGGGCAACCATCCAGCTTTTACTGGCTTAAAGTGCCAGACCTTGTTTGAATAACTAACTTACCATAATAAAGATGCAAAGCTGAAAGACCGAAAAGCATTAACAAGCGGATTGAACCAACATTGTTCGGGGAGGATAGGAGTGTAGATATGAATCTGATGATTTTCGCACTTAAGGAAATTAATTGAATATATAACACAACAAGTACCATTAAAATCTTTAAGATTATTATATTTCTGTGTTTGTTGCCTTCTTTTCAAAAAGGTTCCTTATAGTTTACTGTTTTCTTGTTATATAAACATTATATGTTGGTAGTTTTTTTCTTACAGCATTTGAAACAGAATAAATCTAAATAACAGAAAGTCTTAAGTTCAGCAATCAATTAATGTTATGTTTCTTATTAATAAATGTTAATAAGGGAAAAGAATTACATCGTTTGCTGTTGTATATTCTCTATTTAACATTTCCGTGTAATAATTATTTAACTTGTTATAAGAATTCATCAATTGTAAACAATACTTTGAAAAATCTAGATTCGATTCGGTTAATTTAACCTTAATATTACAGTAATATTCATATTTTTTTCTTTCTTTTGCAGCAAATTTTACTTGTCCACATAACTATATCAAGTGCCCATCAAGTTACTGTATACCTTTCCATTATGTGTGTAATGGTAACGCAGATTGTCCTGATGGTTATGATGAAAAACTTTGTGGTAAGTTTACTGAATATGGTGAATAGAGTTTACTTATGATGAAACAGAAATGTAATGCAAATTAACTCATAATGTACAATAATTTATGGTAAGTACCTTTGGTAACAACAATGAATAGCTTTACCTTAAACTTATGAGCAAAATGAAAAGTAAGTTTTAATGTTAATTTTAAGTAATCTTTAGATGTAAATTAAAATATTTCATTATTTTGAGTAGTTAGTTATAAAAATTATATTAAAATTACTGTTTGGCAAAATTGATCTGAGACTGATTAATTTTCGGGAACAGTTAAGTTTATTTCCGTACATTCAACTACGAAGTTGTTTTATTAGAAGTAAAGTTCTGATATTTTAATCTTAATACTTACGGTCCGGTAACGATAGTTTCTACCGGGAAAAAATGTATCCGAAATGTTGCAGGTCCTAACTTTCGACAAACAATGTTTTTTAAGATATTTCTAAAATTATTATTGTATCATTTTAAGCATCACCTGATAAATCGATTGCTTAACTGATGGGTCAAGTTTTTTTATTATTTTTCAATTGTAACTACATATTTAAGGTTGTGTTGCGAGTTTTGCAATATTAAAGAAAGAAATATTAACAAAAAAGGGATTCATATTTGAGCTTAAATCGAACCTTAAAACTTCAAGTTGTAATTCAAGTACCTCGTCATCTAGGTTAGTCAGCATTGTGATATGTATAAAACTCAAAATGATACATATATCATTTTTAGAAAATGCGTCTTGCGTCGTCAACATGATCTACTTCGGAATCCGATATTAGAGCTAAAAGTCACTGAATATTCGAATGTTTTTGTTCCATATTGCCCAATTTTACGCTAGTTTCAATAAATAACTTAAGATACAAACGAGAGTAGACTTATATTTTTTCTCTGAATAAAAGTCGGCTGGTAAACCAATGCCAGCATTATACACGGCTTTTGTTTTGTTTGGTTTAAAGCGCACCAACAAAATTGATGTCATATCGCGCCGAAATAGGAAATATGATTTTGGCTAACCTCGGGCGTTAAAATATTCGAACAAGACTAGGGTTCAAAATCACCTCATCTGCTGGAGCTAAGAAGTGCATAGACTCAAGTAATTCGAACCCATATATAGTCACGCTGGGATGTCTGATGTTTCATACCTTAAAGACAACCACTCATCCACATGGGTGTCGGCCTCTGTATTATTATTATGTTATATCCGTAAAAATAATCCTTCGACACCGAAGCCTAGGACATCAAAGCTTTAAAACATTTTCTAATGCTACAATGTTTGTGATATTAGTATGATCAGACATTGTTGTTTTTTAAAACGAAACATTTTTTGGAAGAAAAGAACAAAAAAAACACACATAAAAATCATGTTAGATATAATCGATGGCTTGATACCAACACTATAAAGTGTTGAGAATTGAGTACCGCTCAAGCCGGTGCTAGGGGGCGTGAGGGATGTTGCACTTATTCATTATCCCTCATGTACAGACTCAATCAAACCGAGTCTGCAATTCTAATATTATTTTGTTGTGATTGATGCTTCCGAGGGATCACTTTGTTTCCAGAATTTCATAATTGATTTTGCTTCCTAAGAAAATAAATAAATAAATAGAAAATATTTACCTTGTAAATATGATACGTTTAAACAATATGAAGAACAACAGACCTTAACGTTTCTTAAGTTTTTTATCAATGAAGTGTTTTGGTAGTCAGGGATATGATATCAGGGTATCGCAATATAGAACATTAGAACGTAAGTCTCTTTCCTTTGACAGAATGTAACAGCGAGAACAGATCAGTTGTAATAATATTTCCTGATGTCACGAGAGAAAACAGAGATGAATCCCATCTTCGATATTTAGTAAACAAACTTGGTGGATCACTATTTACAAAGGGAAGTAAAATAATAATTTTCGAAACAGATTATCACTATGTACAAAAGACCTATCCAATTCCAAGTAAAAAGATGGATGCATATGTGGAGTTCCAAAGGTCTGATGTCATGATGAACTCTCAGTATACAATGAAACCATTAAAACGATTTGGTGTGAAAGGTAGTGACATTCGGATCTTTTTAAATGACCTACTTAAAGAAGGAGGTGTTAGAAAAACCACTGCAGTAATATGGCTCATAGATGAACCAAACATAGAAAATGAAACTCTTAATATAATTAACACATTTCGTAATATGTCTTCCACTGAACATTTCAACTACTTATTAGTAAAGTACATAAATTTGCGGACAGATGTAGCAACTGATGACAGAGAACTTGTTAAAACAATAAAGCTTCGACAGCTGGACATGCTAAACAACATTGGAAATAAGCTCTTTCCAGAGATATGTAACGGTAACCTGTTCTAGAGCATTTGATTATTTTGCTTTGTTTTCTTTAGTCATTTTAATTATTAAGTCTTCATCTTCATTTCATGTTAATTGCAATCGTGACAGAAAAAGGAAGACCAGTACACTCAACATGTAATGGGTTGAAAAAGTCATTTTTTCCGGCATTCTATATTCTGTGTGTATTTTACGGGTTCACATACTCAACGAGATAGTTTGAATTGCCTTATTTTACTTACGGCACAATTCATTAATGAAATGTCTAAGTTTGCGGGTTTCATATGTCGACATTATGTACTGTTAAACGGTGCTTTTCGTGTTAGCATCTTCACTATTTCTATTTAAAGAATTGGCCCTTTTTGCTGTCATAAAAGTATCTTCATACGCGGTATATGTCTCTGAAAGATGTTTTGTTTGCTTTGTAGGAAAAGTTACACAATGTAAAGGAATGTTCCGATGTGTTTTCAGTAAGGTATGCATACCCATAGGTCAAGTTTGTGATGGAACAAAACAATGTCCATCTGGAGACGATGAAATGAACTGTGACTTTGAATGTCCCCCATTGTGTTTGTGTCGTTCATTAATCGTTAATTGTTCTCATGCAAATACGAGCGACAGCATAGATTTTAAGAAGTACTCCCCGGCAAGAATATTAGATGCAACAAATTCACCAAGAGTGTGCAAAGATATTTTGGAAAATAGTGAAACAAGATCCTCGTTCAAATTACTTGTTTCATTAAAGATGTCCGTATGTAAAATCAAATACATTTCTAACACATCGTTTGAATTCTCACCGAATCTAAAGGTCCTCGATCTTTCTTTCAACGAAATTGGATTAATTCCTTCGTATGCTTTTTCTGTTTTGAAAGTGTTAGAGATTTTATTACTTGAGGGTAATAGCAAATTAATGTCCATTGAACCGCATGCTTTCTACGGAATTTTGATTCGAACCTTGAAAATACAGGGTACGAAGATAAAAACTCTTCATGCAAATACGTTTAACGGTCTTACATTAAATAATCTAGATTTAAGGCACAACAAAATCGTCACAGTCAAAGATGGCACTTTTGATTCTTTAGAGACTGTTAACATAGACATAAGATTTAACCCTATCAAGGACTTCAGTAAACAAATGTTTACGGGATTGAGTGGTGTTAAACAACTGAAAACATCGGCTTTTAAATTTTGCTGCATCCGACCATCTGATCTAAACGAAAATGATTGTTATCCACATAAGGATGAATTTTCATCGTGCGAGGATTTGATGCGAAATAGCACACTACAAGCGCTAATGTGGACAATCGGTATTTTAGCTTTTGTTGGAAATGTCATGTCGCTAATCTATAGACTAATTTACGACAAGAAGAGGCTTAAACTAGGTTATGGAATATTTGTTACAAACTTAGCCCTCGCTGACCTGTTGATGGGAATCTACATGCTGATTATCGCCATTGCTGACAGGATCTTTAGAAACAGGTAACATATCACGTTGTACTATATTGATGTATCTGTGTGTGCGAATCTTTAATACATAATATTATTTATCACTTTTTTACTTGAAAGAAAACTTCTCAATGCTATATTTCAATGTAGATATGATAGTCTGACATATGATAGATGGACACATGGCGTATTGGATAGTCTTTCGTTATTATCGATAGGGTCAATGAACATGCTATTGTTCGACATATGATAGACAGAAACACAGGGCATATGCTAGTCTGACATAAAATAGAGAGAAACGATAAACATTTGATAGTCTGGTATATATAGATAACATAGAAAAAAAAAACAAAGAACATATGATGGTCTGACATGTGGTAGATAAACAAATGAATATATGACAATATGAAAGATGGATAATAGCGTAAAACACGTTCTGTAAGCACGATATAAATTCTGTATAGATAATCCGACGCATTATTTTCTTTTGGTTTGGTCGAACATCCATTCCCTTGTTTTTTCATGCCCGCTCTTTTTTATCATCAAAAGTCAGAAATTATAAGATGGCGTACAGAATAAAAGCTATGATATTTAAGTATGAATATCATATGAAAAAAAAACTATTTTTTGTGCTTGTTTTAGAATAGAAAACCTGTATACTAGAAAAAGTTATAAAACTTCAAAATTTGGGACATGGGTTCAAACGCATATTGAGGAAGAGTGCTTACATATTTTGATGATTTTTTTCTAGACAGTCTGTTAAATTAATTAGAATAGGTGGTATCTTTATTTTGAAATATATCAACTTTTTGAAGGCATAAAATCATTTGTAGTTTTAAAGTTTTAAAACCTTTCATTTTAACTTCTTTTCAAATCGATAACTCAGATAAAACTTTGACATATTCAATTACAGGTATATAGAAGTTGACGAATATTGGAGAAACAGTTTCTGGTGTACGATGGCAGGGGTTATATCAACAGTGTCATCAGAGGCAAGTGTGCTTTTCATGTGTCTGATCACTGTCGACAGAATTCTTATTATCAAATATCCGTTTGGACAGATACGATTTAAAGAGAGGTCGGCAACGGTTGCTGTAGGCTCGGTTTGGATTTTCGTTGTATTCATTTCTATACTTCCTATCCTATACACGGACTACTTTAAAGGACAATTTTACAGTAAATCTGGTGTATGTTTGGCTCTACCGTTGACACGTGACCGTCAACCAGGATGGCTGTACTCTATTTTGTTGTTCATTGGCTTCAACATGGTCACATTCGTAATGATTGCTGTTGGCCAATTACTGATATACACGGAGATTAAAAAGGCTTCGTCCGTACAAAAGGCTTTGACTACTACTCGTACAAATGATTTAAAAGTGGCAAGGAACCTTCTGCTGGTCGTCACCACTGATTTTCTGTGTTGGTTTCCAATTGGAATGATGGGTAATATAATGTATTTTAATAATTACAAATTTAAAGTAAATTCAATTTTGTATGACGGGTAAATAATCGAGTCTTGATTATTACAAAAGTGAATTCCAATTTAGAATGACGGGAAACTTGACGAGTTTTAACTTACAAAATTGAATACAATTTGGTATGACGGCCAATTGAACGAGTTTTGATTATTACAAAAATAAATCCCCACTGGAATGATTGGTATTTTAACAGTTTTTAATTATTAATAATAGAAAAATAGATTTCAATTGAACTGACGGGTAATTTGAAAAGTTTTCATTATTACAATAGTTGATTTCGATTAAGTTTCATAATTGAGCCGCGCCATGACAAAACCAACATAATGGGTTTGCGACCAGCATGGATCCAGACCAGCCTGTGCATCCGCACAGTCTAATCAGGATCCATGCTGTTCGCTTACAAACCCTATAACAAGTACAAAAACTGATAGCGAACAGCATTGATCCTGATCAGACTGCACGGATGCGAAGGCTGGTCTGGATCCATGCTGGTCGCAAACCCATTATGTTGGTTTTGTCATGGCGCGGCTCAATGAATTCCGATGAGTTTAATAAGTCTCAAAGTCTGTGTAAAAAGTGATGTATTTGACACTGCACTGACTGGGTTATTTGACGAATTTTAAACTATGTATTTGGTATAAGAGAAATTGTTAAACTTATTGAAACCATATCTTGTTTTTGTATTTTCGTTGTTCTTCTTTTAAAATATTATTCGACTGCAAAACAGTCTAGTGTAAAATGTTTTTTAACAAAACGCATGATTTACTGCGGAATGACACAATTTATTTTGCGAGTCTTCAGTAAATATACAAGCACATGAAATATTTACATCCACATCCCTGCGTTACACTTCAGGACCAATTAAAATTTCTTGCTTTGTTGTAAAACATTTTCAATTACATTTCTTCAATTGGAATGACAAAGACGTTTTGAAATCTCCGTATACAAACAAGGGACTGTGCAACTGTCTGTAGTTTATTGAACAAGGCTTAAATTAAATTATGCTTAAACCCGTTGCCTCCCTGGGAACTGTTTTGCATTGAGACAAAACGCATCAGCGTAGGAGCTGTTTAATTGAATTGTTATAAAACATTTGAAACCTTCAATCTATCCATTTGTTTACTTTTAGGAACAAGGAAACAAGTTCGTTTAAAGAAATTTAAATGTTTACTTTTTTAAGGTTTGTATTCTACCTTTTGAGATGATTTGAAAGGTGCTGTTCGGACATAGTTATTAATAGCCGCCTTTTATATAGTAAACGGAGGTCACACATTAAGGTTTGATTTGGAACGGGTCTGATGCCTTTTATGTCTGATATGCCACTCTCAAATTTGATGTTTTATCGTTGGCCATAATCGGGATGAAATTAATTCATGTCCAAGGCATTCGGTTAAACAATTACGAGCGTGTCACCACTGTCTATATATATAAATGATACACAAGGTGGCATATTCCTGGCACAATACGCGTACCATCCCGTCACAGTACGGACGTTATGTAATTTTTGTGTCACAATGCTTCCCCTCAAAGTTCAAAAACTGCACAGATCTAAACAGGCAAGCGTCTAGGTAGCATGTTCTTATTTATTTATGTGTGTTTAGATAGTAAATATAGATATTATATACTGTACAGGATGTTTAGCTCTAACAGGACATATCATACCAGGAGAGGTATATGCTTGGACGGCAGTGTTTGTTTTACCAATCAATTCTGCTCTCAACCCATTTATGTACACCTTAACCGCTATCTACAGCAGCAAGGTTAGTAGAATGATGTTAGATTATTATATTAATCATCTTGATAAAGAGTCATTTGTTTACAAACGACAGTTTTTTTATTCGTTATTTTTAAATGAAAAATGAACTCCAACAAGAGCTATTCGTCGTTGCACACTATCGATCAGAAACAAAATAGTGGACACCCTTCGATTCTAATACTATTGTATCTTATACGATGTATTTATATATCATTATGATTTTATCAATAAAACTATTAACTTTGATTTGTGTGGGTTTTAACATGACTCACACTAATCAAAGCTAATAATGTCGTAACCGTGTATTCTGAGAATTTTGTTGTTGTTTACAAGAACACTTATTCGTCTTTGACAGCATGGTGGTTTTGTTTCTGTGTTGACAGCCCATGTCTGTATTTATGATTTAGTTTATTTAAGTTTTTTTTATTGTGTAGGAAGGAACTTAAACAGTACTGACCAATGAGTGTAACATTTCGTGCTCAATAAAACAACGGCTTGCTCTTGACAGGGTTTAAACTCACAGAACTAGCGATCTTTAGATCACTAGTCAGACGCGTTAACCGCTCAGCCATGTCTTGACACACTCAAAGAGAGTTTTAAAACATTTTAAGGTTACTGCTCAATCGGTTCCATTTAATTTTAAGATATTTATTATGTTTATGACAAGATTACAAATAAAATATTATCTAAACTAAATGTACAACGGGATATCAAGGGTGGTTCTAACTGCAGAAGAAAAACATCTTTTTTACCTGATTGATAACAATGCTGCATATTAATAAATCAGTCAATTATAATCAGTCAGTATGTTTAATTCCAGGATGACATTATACACCATAAAAAAAACATTTGTCACCTTACTGTAGTAAAGGTTTTACTCCCATTTTACTTTTATGCATGTAGGTATTAAAATGTTACTGCTGCAAGGTGAAAGATTAACCACATACCTGTATATAGAACTACATGGTTGACCTTGCATCAATATTTCTATATTTACTTTAAATTTATTTTAATGACAAATTTACTTTTTGATAAAGGAATTAGAATTATCGTAATATCATTTTTTTCATTTTTATTGTCAAGATGTACTTTAGCAGATACTGGAAAAATTAAAACGCATAATGTATGCTCATACACTTCTCACAATAGCATAGTGAAATGAATACATTTGTATGGGTCTTCAATTTAGCGGTTAAACTTATACAAATGGTACCTTAGTGAATTCATGCATTATCTAGCATTGTCGTATATATATTTATATATATATATATATATATATATATATATATATATATATATATATATATATATATATATATATATATATATATATATATATATATATATATATATATTCCATATACAAAATAAATTTAATGAACGCCCAGGATGGCGCATGTTTAGGTTCATTGAGCCTTTTCACAGTAAATGTAGGACATTGTCCTGCCCCGCAAGCACCGGTGTTATAGGTATAAAAACTATTGTGAATTCAATAATTAAACATTTTGGTATCGCATTCTTGAATATCGTGCTAACCAAGCTCACAGAAGAAGAAATTTCAAACATCTTTGATTGAAAGTATTTTACATTTTAATATGAAACCTTAAATAGTTTTGCAATAATCAAAATGTTAATATTTTCCAGAAATTCAGCCCAAGCGTTGACGAACAGGCAAGATTGGACCCCTCTAAAGGTAATTCGTCTGTACTAAATAACAGCTTTTACTTTTTTAACACTCTTTCGTATGCCCTATATACAAAACGCAGTGGCATTTTATTTTTGCATGTCCTGTTTGAAAAATCCTAAGTTCAGCTTTCATTCCTCAGTTATCATACCTCCTAGAGCAAATTTTTTTAAATATTGAAATCTGACCTTTAGAGCACGTTATGTCTCAGAAACGATTAAACGTTTATTTACTTCTTTCAAAAAGGGCTTGCATGAATTTTATAACATTTAAATCATGGTTTAAGAGCTTATCAAATGCTTGTATCGGGGAAAAGTAGCGTCAAAGGTGAAACAATTTGTCATTAAAGTAGCTGACTGCCATACAAAAATGTCAACCCATAATGTCCCAGAATTGCTATCAATTTCATTTTTCAAAACATTTTATGTTTTGTACCTTGTTTCATTTTTTAAAAATACACTTCTTTGTATATATAAACTATCTTTTGCATCTTTAGTTCTGTTGGTAATTGGTATAGTTATATTGAATTAGTTTGTACGTAAGTCAAAATACTACTTTGTTTACATTTTGCTACCTTTACAACATATAACTGGACTTCCCGTGCTACCTTTTTTAGTACTGAAGCCTGTAACGTGATCTTTATTCATTATTGTAACATTATTAAACACATCCTTGACATTTTTTCAAGAATAAAAGAATAAGGATTGTTGAGGAATGATGTGCCTTAAACACTAACAACATGGAACTATGTGTTACCTTGAAATAACTGATGATAAGTTTTATTGATCTTTACTAGTTTTCGAGAAATATTGTTATTTGTGTCCTATCTAAACCGTGCTTTGCTGTAAAATTAAAAAAAAATTATGATTTATCATATGAATTAAATTCATAATTGAGTATAATAACCTATTAACTTTATTAATGTTGATATTGGCGTTTATTTTAGAGACTTAAATTTTTTGACACAGTCGTTTTAACTAACGTAAGTTAATTATTTATTATACAGAAATGGGAAAGGCGATACTTGAGATATACCCTTACCTACCATCATGCAACCTGCCTGCCAGATATGATGTTGTCTCCCTCAGTGAGTGGTGTAATGAACGCGAGTTGTCAGTGGCAGACGTTGTATATTTATTTTACCGTATCCTGAAATTTCTGAGCATCTCACATGGGTACCAGCTTGTGCTGAAAAACTTCACAGGCGACAATGTTCACGTTGTGGTTCTGAAGAAAAGACGCGTGAGTACACAAATAAATTTCGCACATCGTTTATTCAGGCTCTTTCAAAACATTAAAATTGAAGTTTTCTTAATTCACTGAAATATCAAATATACAAATGTGACCAAATAATGTTTAGAATGACACACGATGTGTTTTTAAACAATCAGAACTAAGATACGGAGTAAGTATCGAATGTCTTATTATGTAAGATCAGGATTTTTAATTTCATGTTAATACAGTTATTTACATACTCGACAATAAATGATATAAGCTGTCTTAAGTTAATGTCTACTTATTTCTTACATGTAGATCTGATAACGACCGTATATGTTTCGCCTTCATTATGATTCGGATTTTCCAAGAAAGCTATTTTAGCCGTGCAATCTAGCCGGTTCTTACAGATAGGCATAAGACGAAATATCAAAATTTCGTTGTCCGTTGGAAGTAAAAGAATTTGTTGATTTTTGTTTAACAAAAGTAAACTGGAAATAATAGACATCGTGAAAATTACCTAATCAATATCATTATTTATGGTATTACAGACCTTCAATTGTTGACTAATTCACTTTAATTCACATTATGGCAACATCATTATTTGACCGTTTTATAAATCTTGCAATAATATTTCGTTATATACAGTATAGCTTAATAATCTTTAAGGAAGACATTGTAAAAAAAGACAATACTATTATCAAATAAGTTTTAAAAAGTTTTTTTCTCACCTCCTTTTTAATATCTTTACAGATTCTCCAGAGAGCTTACATTGATGTCTCACTCTATCAATGCCTTACTTCAAACAAGAAGGAAATGGCCGAAGATATGTGTCAATTTGGCTATATCGCCGAGAAAATCTTGAATCTGGGTATGGCGAGGAGAGAATGAAGCATGCCAGTTTTAAATCATGCCTTCGTGTTGATGTTTTGTATCCGTGCTGTTTTTTTAAATAAAAAACTTATTTAAAAAGTAAATTTTCGTATAGTGTCCAAATTAAGTACATGTTAGGATGTCTGTGTATCTTCTTTGGAGAACAGCGTCCCTGCCCGTTTCTTCTTACCACCAACTACCTTCTTGAAAGTAATTAAGCTTGTCAAAAAGTCTTTAGTTAATCAAAAGAGACGTCATTTCGTTGACCAAAGATGTTTGAGGCTACTGTTAGTTCTTCATCTTCGATTTACTGTCAGTGTTTACATAGGTTAAGTACAAATATTGTTAATTTGGTCATATTGTTAATTTTTGTGCACGTTACATTTCGAAACATTTACTTGAAGTTGACGAACAAGGACGCTATTTAAGTATAAACTTATATGCTTTACACAGACAATCATGTTAACATTCTTTTACATATTTTTACAATTATAGTACTTACTGACTAACATTTGCGTGATTCAGGCAATTTGTACTAACTGAAAACGAGGCTTTCATTTATCGAAATGAATATATTTGCCCAAAATAAAAAAGAAAAAAAAAGAAAAAAGTTTTAGAGCATTCTTTGCTACAGTTACTTCTCAAATAAGAAAAAAGTCGAGCACGGCTCCCGCTTGACTGTGACTCTTGTTATAATTTTGAAGAAAAAAATGGAAGTAAGTTAATTTAAGTTAAATTTTTTATTGATTTTTTTATTTCTTATATATATTTGTTAGCAAACGTTTTATTTATGTATAATTATAATGCTTTTTAACTTATAAAACATATATATGTTCGTTATTTTTAACTTCGTTTCCATTTTGATTAACACGTACATATTCTATGTATTAAACACTAGTTTGCACACTTTTTATGCATTTGTTATTTTGTTATTTTTATCTTTTTAAACAATTGTTTGCACACTTTTGTATGCATTTGTTATATTTATGTTCCTTAACATTTATAACTTTCAACTCTTATACATTTGTTTACACACATTGTATCGATTTTATTACTTTTAAATCGTACGTGTAAGCATTCGTTTGCCGCATTTTATGCAGTTGCTAATTTCAACTTTTTAAACATTTTATGCATTTGTTATTTCAACTATTTAAATATTTGCGTGCACGCATTTGATGCATTTGTTATTTTCAGCTTCTTAAACATTTGTTTACACACATTGTAAGCATTTGTTATTTTAACTTTTTTAAACATTTGTTTGCACATATTGTAAGCATTTGATATCTTAAACTTCTTAATTATTTGTTAGTCCATATTTTATGCATTTGTTTATTTTAGATTCTTAAACATTATATGTATTTAAATTTGTTATTTTTAACTGTTTAAAAATTTTGTTTGCACACGTTTTATGTATTCAATGTCTTTTAAATTATATTATTATAAATGTAATATAATATATATAATAATATTATGAATGTAAATTAAAGAGAGAAAGTTATTTACAGGCAATTTATGACTATAATTTAGAAAAAAACGAAAGCACTAGAAATATCCTGCATGAAAAGAAACGTGATTACAAAAACACTTGTAAAAAGCATAAAAGAAGCTTTAATAAAAATGTTGGTAAAAAAATGAATGATATGAGAAGAAAAAATCCACGAGAGTTTTGGAAAACATTTAAAAAGAAATCTTCAAATCCAAATGGTGAAAATATAACTGTTGAAGAATTTTATGATCATTTCAAAAACTTGTCTTCTAATACAATGCTTAGTGAAAATATGGAATGTAATGACTTTTTGTCGCAATTTGATACAGCCCCAGACTCCTATGGAAGTTCCTTCGCTGAACTGGATCAACCAATCAAAAAAGAGGAAATAATATCCGCCACCAAGAAACTCGGTTGTAATAAGGCGTGTTCATTAGACAATATCCTATATGTATATTTCAAAGAAAGTGTATTTGTAACGGCACGTTCAATTGAATTATTGTTTAACCACATATTAAATACAAAAGTGTTTCCTCGTAGCTGGTCAACAGGAGTAATAATACCAATATATAAAAAAGGTGATTCGTCTGACCCGAATAATTATAGAGGAATAACATTGATCAGCTGTTTTGCTAAATTGTTTACAGTTATCATAAATGAACGATTGAAACGTTGGGCTGAAAACACAGAAACTTTGACGCACAATTCGGTTTTAAACCGAATTACGGTACTATTGATCCTATTTTTATATTTAATGCTTTAATAGAAAGACAATTTAGAACGAAAAATAAGCTCTTTTGTTGTTTTGTGGATTATAAAAAGGCGTATGACTTAATTGACAGACATTACCTTTGGTATAAGCTCATAAAGACCGGGGTGGACGGAAAACTGTTCTCTATTATACGGTCAATGTACGAAGATGTTAAACTTTGTGTAAGACATTTAAATAGTTTGTCAGATTTTTTCAGCTGTGATGTAGGTCTCTTTCAAGGGGAGATCACCTCGCCGATCATGTTCTCTATATTTTTGAATGATATTGAAATGTTTTTACAAGAAGACCCAAATGCTTGCATTACACTAGACCATATATCTATGTATTCGTTGTTGTTTGCGGATGATGCCGTTCTTTTTTCTGAATCCAAAGAAGGTCTACAAAACAATATAAATAATTTACAATTGTATTGCAAAAAATGGAATTTAACTGTAAATGTTGATAACACTAAAATTGTTGTTTTTAGAAAAGGCGGTCAATTAAGTAGAGAGTTCAAATGGTCATATGACGGAATTGATATAGAAATTGTTCAAAACTTCAATTATTTAGGAATTGTATTTTCTAGTGGCGGTTCATTTGTACCAGCAACAAATACCCTTAGTGGAAAAGGCTTAAGGGCAATGAACTCTTTACTTAACATTACAAAAGAGTTAGATATATCTATAGAAATAATGTTCAATTTGTTCGATGCGTATGTTTTATCTATTTTGAATTATAATTGTGAAGTATGGGGCTTTAATAAAGCAGAAAATATTGAACGTGTGCAAAGAAAATTTTGTAAATGGTTATTAAATGTTAAAATGTCAACAAATACTCTATCATTGTATTCTGAACTAGGTAGATTTCCTCTGTATATTGAAAGATATGTTAGGATAGCAAAATATTGGTTAAAGTTACACGGCGATAAGAGTCAAAACTATATTTTAACAACTACTCTAAGTTCTCAAAGAAATGATATATCAAATAACTCAAATGTTGTCAACTGGTCATCAAAAGTTCGAGACATGTTACAAAACGCTGGATTTGCCGAAGTATGGTTATATCCAGAATCGGTTAATATTAATATTTTTATACCAGTATTCAGATCACGTCTCAGGGATATATATGTAACCCAATGGCGAGCAGACATGGCGTTATGCTCTTCCTTGCAATTGTATTCAAATGTTAAAGTTAAATATGAAAGGTCTATTTATCTTAAATTATTAGAAAATGCAAAATACAGATCAGTTCTTGCAAAAATTAGATTAAGTTCCCATAAACTACATATTGAATCTGGAAGACACAGGGGTATTGAAAGAAGTCAGAGAAAATGCACATTATGTACGTCCGGGGATATAGAGGATGAATTTCATTTTATATTAATATGTCCAATTTATAGTGATTTTAGAAGTATGTACATTTCAAGATACTTTACTGTTAATACTAGTGTTTATAAATTCATACAATTGTTAAACGCAGATAGAAAATTGGTTATTAGAAAATTAGCATTATTTTGTATTAAAGCATTTGAAAGACGAGACAATTTGGTAGATTAGCATATCAATATGATATTATTAATGTAGAAATTTATTTTTGGCATTCTCAATCAATATGTTAGCTATGTCATAATATTTGAATATAACTGATTGAATTTGTTATGATATGATTCTTGACGCATGCATTGTAATAATTATACATGTATATGTATGTTATGATGATGGGTGTTGAGCCCAAGTCAGAAATAAAGTATATGTTCTGTTCTATGTTATTATACCATGTTTGCACAAGTTTTTTTAACAATTTTCAACATTGATGCATACTTTTTATGCATTTGTTATAGTTATGATCTTTAAACTTCTTAAACATTAGTTTGCACACTTTATGACCTTGTCTTTTTAACCTATTAAAAATGTTCTGTATACATTTTATGCATTTGTTATTTTCAACTCATTAAACATTGTTTGCACGCATTCTATGCATTTGTGATGTCAAGTTCTTACACATGTTTTGCACACATTTTATTAATTCTCTATCTAATTATATTCTTAGACATTTCTTTGCACATTTATTTGAACAACATTGAATATTTATTCAACTTTTAATAACATACTTGGTACAAGAAATACGTGCTGTTTTAACATTTGCTTACATACATTTTGGTTGTTCGTTTTTTTTTAACTTATTTTATTCCTTATATTTTTACACACATTTTAACTCATGTTTTCAGATATGTTATGCATTCGTTATCTTTATTTTTATGTTCACACAAACTGAATACGGTTTTAACATACTTTATGTAATCGCCATTCTAAAATTATCGTTTCTGTACTTTTATTTTAATTGTATCTTTTCAAAGTTTTAAGAAGATTAGAGTGTAAAGTTACAACATTGTTTAGGATCGGAGACACAATATACACCATAGACACCGAGTGAAACAATATAAAAATGGTATAAACACCGAGTGAAACAATAAAGAATTGTATAAACACTGAGGGAAACAATATAAGGATTGTATAAAAACCGAGTGAAACAATAGAAAAATTGTATAACACCGAGTGAAACAAAATAAAAATTGTATAAACACCGAGTGAGACAATATAAAAATTGTATAAATACCGAGTGAAATAATAGAAAAACTGTATAAACACCTAGTGAGACAATAGAAAAATTGTAAAACACCGAGTGAAACAATAGAATAAGTGTCTATTTATGAAATTTGATGAACCCTATACACAACCCAGGGGGAAACAATTTTAAAAGAAACACCATAGATTATATGAAAATGCATGGAAATAAATATATTTCAATTTTAGTTTATGTCTATTTTATACTTATTTAGGATCTCTTTATGATATTATTAAAACAAGTACAAACAACCATAATCACAATTTTTTTGACCACATTTATTACTGCGTGGACGAGTGGTTAACGCGTCGGACTAGTAATCTAAGGATTGCTGACCGCGTTGGTTCAAACCCCATCAGGGGCAAGCCGTTGTGTCCTTGGGCAAGAAACTTAACATTCATTGTTAAGTAATTGTTGGTTCCAGAAAGGGAAACGAGAGTGTTTCAATTGCTTATAGCTTCCAACTTAAACGAACTAAAATAAATTTGTATAATCTAAAAACATTACGATTTTGACATAGAGAGATTACAATAATACGATTATCTTATTATATTTTCTTTGAAAATGTTTATGTAAGAAATTTTGAATAGAAGATTCATATTTACATCTTTATTTGTGTACTTTTTTACTATTTAAAGAGAAGGCGTTATATAATAATGATATTACAATTATTTGCTTATGTATATTTTTTTAACATGGTTTATTTCAAATGTTCAAATAAAAATCACCTTTAGAGATATGTATCGCTATTGACTGAAAAAACAGTCATTATAATATATAGAGAACTGCTTCTTAGAAATTTGGAATACAAAGTGACATGTGCATTGATTACTATGCAAAATGAGCAAACATGGAGGAGAGGATTTGTAGAAAAACATTTTTAGTGAATAGTGGACAAAATATGTAAACAAAGTATAGTCTTATATATTTTAATATTCTAAAAGTGGCGAAAATAGATATCAACAATGAACGTTTGTCTATAGTAAATATAATAATTATTTGTATGTTGAAGGTCACTTTACAACAGAAAAACCCTCGCGTGTTTAACATTTGCAGTAAAGAATAATTTATGTACATAAAAAACAGAAATACAAACGTTTTTTTTTGTAAACAAAACATAGCGATGTTGTATTCAGAGCTCGGACAAAAGTGTTACATCGTATTCTTTTGACTGGATTTTGTTGTGACCTTACAAATATCTTACGTGTGTCTGCTATTAATTAGGTAAAAAAGAATCATAATATAATCCCTCTCAGACATTTTAACTTTATCATGATTTGATCACAGCACGTGTGTCACGTGCGCATAATTTTGTACAATGACGAAAAACATAAATCACCTGCTTGCTAATCCATAATTTGAGAATGCAAATAAAGTAATGTACTTCATTGTTTAACTTACATCAAGAGATCATTTTAATAAAAAAAAACTCACTATTGAGCTTCTGTGGTCATTGAAAGAATATAACGTTCCTTTTTATGTTTTGTTGTTGTTTTTTTTTACAAACTATTCGATAGTACAGTAATTTAGATAGCAATTTCA